GTAATCAAATAGACTTTGTAATTAAAGCCTACATTGTGTAAGCATATTTTTAGACCGTAGTTATTAGGGAAATGACGTTAAATTAAATTAGCTTCACCTTGCTGTCACGAGGGATGAAGAATAAGGGTGTCCACACACACGTGCGCGTGTCGTGCAACAAACACCGCACCCTCGAAAGCCGCGCCCTAATCCAGGCGCGGCCTAACATTGCACTTTCCACCCTAGCGATGTGCTATTAGTCTGTGTTTCCACGTGATAAAACACTTCGATATGATTATACCAAGCAAGTCGCGATGAAAGACGAAGCGACGGATTGATAGTCATGTTCGTGGAAAAAGTTAGAGAAGGTTCGTGAGATAGGAAAAATGATAGCGGAATTGCGTTACGGTATAGCGGGAGAACATGCAAAGTCATATAAGTATTGTATCGTACTTTCATGGCGTAATCAACCATAAAGCTAATTACATATCACACTTATATCATACCTTGTTCTTGCTTCTGCCACTACATTTTACGTACGTCACGGTAAGAACGGTGAATGGAGATCGGAATTCAACTGGATCTTAGCATAAAACTCGTTCGCTGATCCCGTGATCTCATTGACTTCACCTTATTGCATTAAATGTTCTGATTGTTCAAGACAAGCCAGTTGGACATTTTACACACGTTTTTTTTTAATTTTATATAAGGGTGGTCTATTTTATCGTTTTGATCTAATCTTCATCTGCCATTACAAAACTTCACTCTTCCGCGTGGCTAATGTACGTATAATTGTATTCTGTTGGAATTGCTATTATCCAGAGACGCATAATTTCCGGTCTCTAGTTCCTGGAGAAAAAAAAATGCAGTATCAGATGTAAAATAAGAGAAACGATCTCAGTGCGGAGTAGAAACTTAATTAGTGCGAGTGCGCTTTATTTTTAATTAATCATCTCGCGGAGTTACTTTCTTTATCTCGCTGAGATCGAATCTTCCTTCGTCAAACATTTTCACTCGTTTCAGGAAACAACGCCACGTACTTCCGCTACTTCCGCAACGCGGCCTCGATTTCGTGACGAACAATAACGGTCTGATCTGTTTTACGTGGTCTTGCCGTGCATTTCCGGCACGACGTCGGCGCTTAATTCGTTTCCGGCGGAACCACACCTATCAAACCATAACGAAATAAAATGGAAATTTGCCATTTTCTCGGACAACTTTGATCTAGTTTTGTGCCACGTAATTATATACGCCTACACACATTGTCATACATTTATTTTCAAGTTTGAATTTTATAATGTCACGATAGTTACACGTGCTATATACTAAAAAATTAAATTTGTTTTCATTCTTTTAGATGATGTAATTAATTTAAATGTTACTTATGTTAATTAAATTTTATTGATTATCATACATCTTTCTTACTTTCTTACCAGCTAATATATAAAGTTCTCAGAGAACCGCACAAGTTGTCGCAACTTCCTACTATCATTTCGTGCCTCGCTGCGAATTGCGCTAGCGATCGTCGGCTTGGGTTGCGTCTACGCACTTGCGTTACTGGATTGTACTCGCGTACCCACGCGCACGATTGTAGAAGCCCGCGCCAAGCTACACGACTGCGGCGTATGGGCACAAAAATATTGTGCAATGTGGCGAGGCGAGGCTCGCGCGTATCCGACAAACGGGAGCAGAATTTCCGCTAAACGGAGAGGAGGACACTTTTAACAATTGGTGGCTCGTGGAGAAACAAAAGCCATACAACGTTCTCTCTCTCTCTCTCTCTTTGTCACTTTCGAAGATAACGGTATACCGGGAAGAAGATACACAAGAGCGACTGGAGTAACACGCGTTGCCATGATGCTCTCATGCAAATATACAAGAATTTCCATTAATATCCGTGAACAGCTTGTAAATAAATTACGAACATAGCGTCGAGTGCGATGAGATCAGTTTTGCAATCAGACGAATGGCATAACTTTCAGTAAACTTTTTCTCAATCTTCATATTTTGCAGTCAGTTTTTTAAAGTAAGTTTTAAAAAGTAAAATATCTTAAAATATACACTAAACTAAACTAGTAATAACTTTTTATGCAACTTTCAAATAATTTTTATTGCAAGATATCGCTGACTGATAACGTGCTCTTTATACAAGATGCATTAACGAGAAGAAGCATAATGAAACAATGTACTTTTCGTTGATTGGCTGGGAATTTCCGATTTTTTTAAGCTTAATTTGATTTAACGGTGAGAAAAATCTTCGTTGCGATAACTATGGAGAGAAAGTCGCGAGAATTATGAGAGACCAGTAATCTAATTAAATCGATTTACCTTTGGCAACTTTCGTAATTGCCTTACAAACTATAAGTTTTATTTTGGCTTATGCAAGGACTAATTGCGTCAGGTTTACGTTGTAAGTACTAAAATAAATATCTGCCGCTGTGTGCGATTTATCGTCGGAGAATTACACGGCTTGTAGGACCTAATGGAAAGCAAACATCGGTGATCCGCAGCTGGATTTACGAGCATTTATATGTGACAACGCTCAGAGTTGCGTGTTGAGAGTTGCAGTCATGCGTTTTGTCACGTTCAGGGACAATTTGTTTGACTGTAAACGTTCTCCAGAGACAATGAACACGCGCCGATAGGAGATAAATCACTCGGCAGTCGCTAATCTCTTACTTAAATCATTGTTCCAGAATCCGTCTGAACTATTGTTTAGCGACTCTAAAATCTATGAGTTATTGTCCTAGTAAAATATAAAATATAAAATAGTGAGAGAGAGAAGTGGAAAAACAACACGTGACTAAAGTCAAGTGACAGGGAAAAGGGTAAAAAAGAGAATATTATATATATTATATGTAATATTCTATATTTATATATACTACACACACATACGCATATATGTATATATATATATATATATATATATACCGTAATCACGTGACTGAAGTCAGTAACACCGCCGCGGTCGCGTGGCCGAGGTCAGTGACTCCACCGCAGTCGCGCGACCGAGGTCATTGACCCCGCCGCGGTCAGTGACCCTCCCCCCCACCAAGGCCGCGCGGCCGAGGTCAGTGACATTACTGTAGTATGTATATAATACATATAATACAATATAAAGTATAATATTATAAATATATAATAAATTATATGTATAATATAATTATAAATAATATTACATATTTATAATTATATGCAATTTATAATTATATGTATAATAAATTATATGTATAATATGTATTATTTAATGTTATATATAATATAAATTACAGTCACGTTATTCTTGTTCTCTTTGAATGAATCGAACATTTTCTCAAGTTGGCCCCGATCAAGCTGATCGCGTGTAAAGTCATTCAAATGATTCATTCTGTAACAAATTAAGTTCCGTTCTATATCATTAAGTAATGAGATCGATTTTTTACGATGAAAGAAAGAGAGAAAATAAAAGTGCAAGTTTTTACTTTCATTCATACTGTAAATATTTTAAACATCTTAAGGATTTCCTAATATTTATCAGAAACTAAACGTTATTAATAATAAATTATTAATAATACAATCTTTTGCTTCTATTTCTTAATCTCCTTCAGAAACACATCTCATATACACTTTCTAAATCAGCACTTTCGATTTTCTTTAACGTATCTATACCGTTTTTGTAATTTCTTTAAAAACGTTTTTATATAATATCCTGTCAATGTTGGAAATACAAATTTTTTACTCACTACGTCATCTATGAATAACTGATTTCTATTTCACACTAGAAGTAATAACGTGTAAGCATGACATAAGTAATATTATAATAAATACAATATAAAACCGATTGATATCGAGCGTGTATCAAATGTTCACTGGCGAGATAGATTCTGAAACACGTTGCCCGCATTCTCTACGAGAGCACATTAATTATCACCACTTAATATTTCAGGATACCGTGAAGTTACGATCGAGTTTTCACTGCAGTTATGCAGTTCCGGCGAAGGCGTATTTGCTCGGTATGCTGAAAATATCACACTCTTGCGTCTGGTATGAATTTAATATTTCCGGTAGCCACAAGTTGCAGACTTTTCCGCGCAATTTCTTTCATTCGCGATTCATGACTCGCGCTCCGGCGAAACAACTAGAGAAAATTGAATGCTTCTGTTCGCCTAACTGACAGACAAATAATAAGAGAAAGCAGAGCGCTACGAAATAACAATAAGAAAATAAAATTGGTTATAACTAATTTGTACTATTTGTATACATTGTAAAAGCTTTCAAAATTTATTAACTTTGCGATTATAAACAAAAATTTACAAATATAAATGTGCATAGTTAATGTTTAATATAATATATTTCATAACATTTATTTATATGTGTCTAAAGTTTTTATTTTTTGTACATGTATTTTATGTGTGTGTTCTGTCACACAGTTTGTTTTGCATTTAAAAGTCTGAATCTATCGACGACAGATTTCAGAGACTGTCCTCAGTGTTTCGACACTCATACCGTAGAACTGGCGGCGCGTGACCGTCTCGTGCGACCTCGACGAACCGAGACTAGTCTCATCGATTCTCGATCTTCAACATTCTTTCGATCTTACATATACGTACATATAAGCAGAGAGAAGAATAAGAGTGGCCACGGCCATAAGAGAATGTGTAATCACTTTTCGTGGACATGGTTCTATTCTGTGCTGAGAACACGAACGTGTAGTGGGGATACGTACACAAGCGAGAACCGCCGTCCGTGTGGGCTCGTGGAAGAGTGCAGACATATGTTAATGTGTGACGGCGGTTCTCGCTTGTGCGTATCTCCACCACGTCGGTGTTCTCATAGCACGGAATAGAACCATATCCACGAAAAGTGATTACACATTCTCTTATGGCCGTGGTCGCTCTCATTCTTCTCTCTGATATAAGCCATGATCCCGTTTTCAGTTATCTTGTCGTAACTTTATTCGATGTGCCATGCGAGACTCGTCTCAGTGTCTCTCATTAACGTGATCCGGCTTGTAAGAATTTTTCTAACAATAAGAAAGTAAGTGGAATGGAAATTGTCATTTATTTTTGTTTAGTAGTATCACATATGAAACCGTAGCATTTACCGTACGTAAAAAACGGTATTGTAAAAATTTCTCACCTAACGGAATAGCGAGAAAATAGTCAGAAAATTTAGTGCAAATTACAAAACAATCGTCTGCTGATGGGATCATAACTGATCCGTACATGTTGGCAATATTTTTACCGTATATATATATTTACGATTGCAAACGTCTGTACAAAATAAACAAACGGTATCGCACATCTGCCGCGATATAACGTGGGAAGCGTCCTTCGCGTATAACGGCCTTCCTCTGAATCGCGTGAGAGAACCAAATTAAGTTCTTCATAACGTGAATATCAAGAAACACGGTAGTGCCTCGCGCCAAGTTCACGCACAACAAAGTCGCGTTTTTTCACAATGTTGAAAGTTTTTATGTTCTAAAAAGTTCATCCTAAAATGTGGAGAAGTTGATAAAAAGCTGTAATACTATTTATTGCATAATGTCAAAGCTTCGTCGCCATATAGTCCTACGAAAAGACACGATGATAATTTGTGGCAGGCTTTGCCGCAAGTCAGAACAGCGACAGTCACGATTTCGACAGAAGTAATGAATTTGCACGAAGAAAGTGGCACGTAGTTTTTGAATCACCGTGATACATCAGTACTTAAACTTGTTACTCTCCTTCGATACATCAAATAAACTAGGTTCACATTTTACAAGTATCATATCGCACTCATCTATACGAGATTCAACTTGGAATAAGTTTCAGAAACAATGCGTAGGTATTTGCGTATTGAAAAACAAAGAACTGTTTTTATTACAGTGTTTTACTATGTCCCTAGTATTTAAAAACGTAAATTCTTCACTGATTTATTACACACTTCACATCTAGAAATAGTTTGCTTTTGCTATGGGAACATCATATTTTTCAATGTTATTTTAGAGTAAACAAGAATTCAGAAATCATTTACAAATTATGTAAGATTTTTTTATCCCATACCATAAAATTTTAGATTTATTATTTTAATTATACATATTTTTTTGCATACCCATGTACATATACCAAGATAGATTCTTTCGAACTCATATATTTAATATATTTAATGTCTTATTCGAAACAGTTGCTGTTTTTGGTATCATTAGTGTCTTTGTTATTTCGAAGAATACGGTTTTTCACCATGTCGGGAGATGCGATTTTCAGGTCATAAGCCCACCCTATAAGGGCGAAGAAGTCAATAAAAGCTGTAGTAATATTCATCGAGTAATTTCCAAGCTCCGATGCTTTATAATCCCAAGGAAAGACGTGGTGATAATTGTGCCAACCTTCGCCGGTAGTCACAAAAGCGATAATCGCGTTTTCAACAGGAGTGATAGATCTGCGTAACAAAGATGTCATATTTGCACCACACTATTTGATTATAATCAGTAATTTTCATATAGTAAAACCGTTGATTAGATTTAATGGTGCTAAATAGGTTGCGCTAACTTATATTCGCGCAGAAAAAAGAAAAAACATTACGGATACGTTACTTGTCATATGGTTTCATTCCCCACATGTGAGCCACCGAGTTCACCAACCAAGTACCATGGAGAGTGATGCAATATCTGGTGACATTTCCGACAAATGAATACCATAGAGATTCGTTCCACATCAACCAGGGCACCATTACCGGCACGATAAAAAACACCGTCATTAAATAAAAATAATATCTACAAACAAAAATGAAAAAAATAATTTAGATACACCGTACAAAATACATTGACATGTAGGAGATATAAGTATCTTACTTTTCCTGAAAAGCCACAACAAAATCGCGTTTGAGATCGCTGAAATCGAGAAGAGTCATTTTTCTCGTGACTTCCGGATGCTTAGTTATTACAAGCCAACCCATGTGTGAAAAAAAGAACCCTCTGCGTGCGTTGTACGGATCCGCGTCGGTGTCGGTAAATTTGTGGTGCAGTCTGTGCTCTTGGGACCACTGAACAATGTGATGCTGAAAAATAAATAAGTCAAACCGACGATACTGTGATTTATTACGCAAAAATCTCACAACGTGTTTAACTGCTGTTAAGACAAAAGATAATTACCGACACACGAGAATTATCACAAAAAAATTAAATAAATAACAATAAAACTAAGAGAACAAATAATGCAAAACTTACTCCATAAGCAAGAGTTTGAAAAATCATCAGAATCACTCGTAGTGGCCATTTTGCTTTGTAAGCACGATGAGCCCATAGTCTATGAGAGCCAGCGGTAGTACCGATTATGGAAAGTACATAAATGACGAAGTCTGAGAAATGACAAATAATCGATCACACAACTTCTTACTTTAAGAAAGTGACTACGATGTCGCACACGATTGATAGATTACTACTTGTGTTTTTGTAAAATGGTCTTATCACAAGTAATGATTTCTCAGTCGATATGCAACTTTTACTGTTTTCCTGAATATAATCAATGTATTTAAGTCGCATTACCATTGTATCAAGATACGTAAATAACGACGAATCGCATAATCGTGGACGCATTTTCACCGACTTGACAAACTTTTTGTACAAACATTATAATTTTCTTAGAACATCGATACATCTTATAAATATCATTACGAACGAAGAAGAGACAAAAGTTACGTACACCACATAATCGTCCACTTGCTCATCCTTAAAATATGTAGCAATCCATAAAAAGAAATCGCATGAATGTACAGAAAAACAAAAACGCTTTCCCATATAATATTCCATTCGTAAGGTTTTGGCAATTCTTTTTTTGGTGCGGAATCGATCACAGTCTCATTGGTTTTTATTTCACGTAATACAGATTTCGATGCCATAGTGCACAAACTGAAATATATGAGAATAATCGAATTTATTCGATGAATTCTAGAATATAATTGTATACTATAGTCTACATTGAACCTCAATTCCTTTTTTTTTTATGTAGGAGTAAGAGAGAAAGTAGATCCTACTTTGACGCTGCTATACGTCCGAAATTTCTTTTTTTTCTGCTAAAGTTTTAAAGTAAGGTTCAATTCTCAGATCAGGCTGCGCATTGCAGGCTCTGATAGGCTCAAAATAGGCTCTGATAGACTCAAAGTAGGAGTAAGAAAAAAAGTAGATGCTACTTTGACGCTACTATACGTCCGAAATTTCCTTTTTTCAAAAATTGAGGTTCAATGTAGACGCTAAATTTCGACTCAGGATAACAATAATGATAATACGTAAGAACTATCGAGATAAATACGTGAACATTTTTGATAAAACAATATTCATTCAAATAACAATAATTATACAATTCTTAACCGAGCGCGGAAATGGCTGTCAAAACTGATTGAAGCAAAAAGACTCACCTTTGCAGAGAACAGTATCCCCAAAATTATATTAAAATATCGTTTGTGTCAAATGTGAGAATGAAATTGTACGAGCAAAAATAATCGAGATCACTGTGTGAATATTACGTGTTACGTGCTGATTGAAATTCGTGCACGTTTACACCGTACATGTACACGTAATATTTAAGTATGTATGACAGAAAACAAAAAAACAAATTTATATCATACTCTGTAGAAATAAACTTTTATCTACGCTGGTCGTCATCGAATCGAACACGGCTCTCCACTTACTGCCAATGTCCACTCCACTTGCACGCAGATAGCTTTTATATACTTTTCTACTTACAAGATGGCCGGCAGAACGAAATTAATGCAGCAAAAAAAACGTTTCCTAGAGAAAGAAAAATAATTTTTTTTGCAGCGGTTATTTCAATATAAAGATTAATTTACAATATATGTCGTTCCTAATACCGATGCGTAAATATTTTATAAATAAATACATCAAAATAATCTCACATACACACAGACAGAGCAAGAAAACAACTTATTTTTATACTTTATATACAACATGATACATACTAACTTGTTTTTTACATACTAACAGAAGAAGTTGTTTTGTCGGGACCACCTTTGTCCTCTATCACTGAATAAGTAACATATGATAATGCCATGTGAATATCTCCGTACTTAGTTTTGCAAATATAATTATTGCTTTGTATTCCCATACAGTACAAAACGTTTCAATAACATTGCAAACTTACATTGCAATCTTTCGATGCTGTATGGGTTATTAAAAGAATATTACTTGTGTTTTTTGTAAAATAATCTTATTACAAGTAATAATTTCTCAGTCGGCATGTAACTTTTACTGTTTTTTCTGAACGTATCAGTGTATTTAAATAAATATATCAATATATTTAAATAAATAAGTCGTATTATCATTGTATCAAGATACGTAAATTGCGACGATTTGCATAATTGCGGACGCATTAGAGTCGACTTGACAACTTTTTTGCACAAACTGTACTTTTTATAGAAAACCGATATCTCATAACCTCAGATAATTAAGATCGACTGAGCATGTTTTGCTAAGTCTGCAATAACATATTATACCAGTAGACAGCCAGCATTCAAACATTATCTGTTATTCCGATAACCTAATGTCGACAGAAAAGCAAAAACCAAAAAAAATATAAATGTATCATACCGTGATGCAATTATTATTGCATCAATTTCGCTGCGTGTTGCTATTATAACAATACATCATAATATATTATAACAATAATAATAATATGCAAAATTCAATTTATTTCGACATTGTGACGCAGATCCGAATATATAAAATATAAATGCTAATCTAAACGCTAAGTTTGTATAATAAGATAGCACGGAACACACAGATAAAAGTATCGAGACAAATACGTAAATTGTTCTAATGAAACACTACTCATTCAAATAACAATAGTTATAAAATTCTTAACCAAGCGCGGAAATGTGTGGCTGTCAAAACTAATTGAAGCAAAAAGTCTCACCTTTGCAGAGAACAGTATCCACAAAATTATAGTAAAATATCGTTCGTGTCAAATGTAGAATGAAATTGTACGAGCAAAAATAATCGAGATCACTGTGTGAATATTATGTGTTACGAACTGATTGAAATTCGTGCACGTTTACACCGTACATATACACGTAATATTTAAATATATGTAACAGTAACTTTATATCATACTCTCTAGAGACAAACTGTTATTTACGCTGGTCGTTATCGAGTCGAACGCGGTACTTCAACTACTATGTCAATTTGCTTGCATCGGATTGCTTTTATACAATTACTCCCAAGATGGCCGTTGAATTGAAATTAATGTAGCATGAAGAATTTCGGCTTTTAAATTGCAAATTGACAAAACGAAATTTAAATAGTCATGAGAGCCTTACGTTGAATGTTGCAAAATAAATAAATAAATAAATAAATAAATATATATATATATATATATATATATAAATATATATGTACAGGGTGTTTGACAATTAATGTAAAATCTCTCGTAGGCATGTAGAAAGAGTAAAACTGAGTCGAAAAGTCTTGAACCATTTTTGTCTATTACATATGATAAAGAAGTAATTATTGAATAAATCAAGCCAATCAGCGCCGACCTTTAGCCGGGCGCACGTCAGAACCACGTGCCTGGTGTGCGAAGCACTCACGCGGAGCACTCACGCACACCCAGGCACGTGGTTTTGATGTGCGCCCGGCTAAAGGTCGGCGTTAATTGGCTTGATTTATTCAATAATTACTTCTTTATCATATGTAATAGACAAAAATGGTTCAGGACTTTTCGACTCAGTTTTACTTTTTCTATGTGCCTACGAGAGATTTTACATTACTTGTCGGACACCTAGTATATATTTTTTTTTCATGTAAATTTTTACACGTCAGTTTGAAATAAAATTTTAATTCCTAAATTCATATAGAATGCTACTTTTATCACGTATATGAGGAATTCCCGTTTACTCTCTTAATTTTAGAATATTGCGAAAAAGATACTTTGACCAGAAGTCGAACTTTGAATCTCCGGCTTTCCGTGTCATCGCCTTCCCATTCGGCCACCGAGACACTTTGTTTCGCAATATTCACATATCAAAAAGTTCTAAAAATAACGCCAACTTCCACCAGCGTGAAATAACAATTCATAAAGACTTTCGGCTCTTAAGTTACAAACTGACAATGCGAAATTTAAATGAGGATTTCTCATATACGTTATGCAAAATACTATCCTATAGAACTTTAGGAATCGACTTTAAGAGTGGATTTCCATCAAAAAAAAATTTAGTCAAATTGTCGTTTATGCAATATCTATCAAACTAAATCAAAATATTCTATAAACTTGCAAAAAATTTGACAAACAATAATATGTATATCCCAAATAATTTTAAAAGAAGCGTATTTTTTGTGATATCTTCTACGGATCTGTTTGATTGATCTCACTCATTTTATTCTTCTCTTTCGTCATTTATTTTGTGGATTGCTCTCGGCTTTAAGACTGCAACGATCAAAAGCCAGTCACAACTGGTCGTGGCTCTAGCTTGTATAGAACTCTGAGAAAGGAAAGCGGCCTCCTCTCTTTGTCAGGTGAGTCTATTGTCTTCCTGGGATCGGATGGGAACAGCGGTCGTGGATACTGGATGTTTCGGGATTATTTCCTCCGACATTTACACCGCGACACGTTCATCAATAATGACAATCAAGCTCATGCTAATTTCGACTTTTTATAGTGTCTATCAAGTTAAGCGATTAAAGAGCATTGCATAATTTGTAGTTAATATCACGCATGAATGACAATTTAAATAACTTAATTTGAATTGACAATAAATTTTATGAATTAAAACTAACAACAATAAAACAATAAGATATTTTTATCTTAGTATCTTATTTCTATATCGTTTTTCAGTTTGACGTGCAACAAAGATCATTCTGGATATAGTTGTGTAAATCACGACAAATCCTATCTAGAGAGAAAATGCGCGGAAATTTCGCCACATTATCAATCATTATCTCCATTAAAGTTCAATTTTGTAATTTCCTTCTTCTCATGCCTATATCTTCGCCGACATGAATGAACTTTTTTCGTTATTAATCAGAGGAAATATTCGCAAGCCGACTGTGAAACTACTGAAGTAACGGAGGCGTTCGAGACAAGTTAAGATTATCGTTTTCGTTCGCTTTGAAAACTCCGGTATCAGTTCCGCGATGCGTAAGAGATCGTATAGAGGTACATACGCGTTTTGCGAGTGTGAACCGGTTTCGAGCCAAATTCTTGTCAAGGTAATAACTAAGAAGCGAGATATGTATCGACACACACGTATGTGTAAACCGACACCAACGTGAGTACTTGTACACGCACGCGAAAAGGAAACGCGCGCGTGTGTACTTGCTGTTGGAACGCAGAAGACTTCCGCTGTTCGAAGCAACCTGAAAGACGCAGGAATTTGATTTGACAACACACAAACCGGTAACGGCAAAATGCAGTGTCGCTGCATAAAGAAATGGGTTGCCAAGGGCTGGACATTGTGTCAACGAAATTTGCACATAGCGGACGAGCATTTGTTTCATAATCCACATTTTACGATCATATATCTCGCATACGTTTCCATTTTTTGTTACACTCTGTTTCCTCGCTCAAATGACTTGCTTAGCTTTGCGCAATTTGCACGTTTATTGCAATAAGTCCGTTTTTTTTTGTTTTATAACAAGAAAGAAGAATTTTCATCATCAAATTGAATTGTCGTAAGATTGTTTGTTGTTCAATCATGTGTTGAAAAAATTAATGTACGTAAAACTGCTTGTATAAAAATGATTACATGTGCACGAGCGTGTAGTTTTACATGTGCGTAGACATGTTTGTACAAATGCGATCAGCTCATTTATTGTCGTATCGACGTGACACTTGTGTCAAGCCTTATGTCATACAAAAGGCGACGGGAATGTGCTGTACGTGTGTCGTGCGTGTTGGTCACTGCACTTCCGCTCGGGACGCAACACGTACTGTAATGCGTACGTGTTGCACTGTGCGTATGTGCGCGCTCACGCGATAACTACCGGAGCGGTCTATCTTGCAACGATAAGAAATTAGATTATATAGTGGACATACTTTTACGTCTTGTCTATAATATTGTTCTGAAAATATCATATAATACAGTTTGCAATATTAAGGGAATTTCACAAATTACGAAAACTTACACAAGACATCGAGACATTATTAAAACTAAAACTGGATGTCTCGACATTTGCTATTGCTATATGGTATATAAACATCGTTCTGTGTCCATGTGTGCGCGTAGTTCACAGAACCTTATTGTTTATAGGCACAATAGAAAGAGAGCATATGGACAGCGCATATAGCTATAGACACCGCTGCGATACTCGCGAATTAATCAGCAATCGAACCCCCGAGAAACTTGAGATTGCGTCACAAGCCGGTACCGCGATCGATCGATCAACCGGTATTAGCCAACGCGGCCGGCTAGTCGCGCAGGTGCCTGGCGAAACGTGGGTGCCGACTGTCTCGTGGGTGGTACGAGAAGGTTTTAAAGGCTGCGTTTTTTCCTCACCTTTCGGAAATATAAGGTTTTCGTTGAGCGAGGTCACGACACCCACGCTTATCGCGCTGCGCGGCGAACAGCTGCGATATACGACGGCTGAAAAGTTGGTTCCTTTCCTGCGTAGGACGAGAAGGAGACGTGATTACAACAAGAGACAGCGACGCGTCATTGCGGTAACAATCTGATCGGATGTACGTAGACTTTTTAATCGGCTCAACTCTTCAACTGCGAGATTAAATGATATCTGTTTTTTTTTTTTAATGCGGCAATGTAACTTGTATTAAATAAGAAATGTACTTTGTAAGTTTTAATTATCACAAGTTTGTAATTTTCTGTATTTGATTTCATTATTTACTTAAGCATATTGTCGATCTCTCGTGATTAAGTTTCACGTTGCAATAATAAGTATAATAAATATAAAGCTACATCCGATTAATTCAAATGTTCGCGGGAATAACTAAATCTATTCATTTGAAAATGTTATAGTTTAGTATAAGAAGAAACAACAAAACTAAGAGAATACGATACATTATGCGTAATTAGTTTCATCGCCGACCTATTTCTCAGAATTCATCGATCACGAGATGAATCGCGCGATTGCACACAAGCCTCCGATTATCCTGAATCTTGAATCCCACTGCAATTGCGCTGGAAATCGCTATCTTTATAGGCCATGCGTGAAAGCTAATTAAATTTAATTAGAATGAAAGCGCATTTAAAAAGTGACGACAAAAGTCCAATCTTAAGGAATTAAAATACAAAATATACGTAAAACAAACTATTTGCAAAATAAATAAAAAAAATTATACCATAGGTATTGCACAAGAAATGTAAAATTGTAATCTATCAAATATAGTGGCAACATTTTTGTAATTTAATTCGGCATAAAACTTTAAAGTTTTATTATTTTTTTTCTCCAAGACAGTTGTACATCGAAGTGTAAAGTAAATAGAAAAAGAGTAAGAGGAATTACATTATTATTCCGTACACAGTAGTCACAACTGCAACACGCGAGAACAGACACTGTTGCTGGTTTCTATTCTAACCTTGGGGTTTTTTTTTAAGAAATCTGTCGTGAACATCGCTTGTCATCGTTTGAATTTCGTTTATCTGATATTGTTGCGTTAAAAAAGAAGTATCTCTTTTCTGTTTTTATTATAAAAATTGCTTTTTAAATACAAAAATTCAATCTACTCTCACTTAAAGAAAAGTACAATATAATTCGCACTCTATGTACATAATGATACATAATGTGTAGTAGCAGTCATAAAAGCAATCAGTAGATTTACAAGAGACCTCGACGACACGTAGGTCAAGATGATCCATCATATCCCCTCTTCGAGAGAGCTAAAAGACCGGATTCAACTCCTCATTGAGCACTAGGCTCGTTAAGTTGGCAAGTTTTGCCTTTTTTCTCCAATTTCTACATCTCAAAAACATCTTCTTCATACATGTTCGGAATTCAGCAATTTTTTGTACATAAAGTGTTTTGTCTGTATTTATCAAATTTAAATATAAACAATAAAACTTGATATCCTACAAACGGTTACACATATAAAATGTCTGCACTTCTCATTCATGCCACCGATGGCACCATCTGTTATTCTATTTCAGAAGTTACCATCAAAGAATTTTCCATTGCTGAACAGCATTGCTTGGAACTTACTTTTAGCGCCACTAGCAAAAGCAACAACTATCTCGCGAACAGAATAGTTGTAAAGCGTCGCGACACCTATCGCAGATTTCTGTCTTGACAGAAGACGATGCACGCTAACTTGTCTGAGCATTGTTACGTGCGTGTTGCGCCGTCGCATAAATTTTCGCAGGTGGTGATTTTTCGGTGTTGTAACGAGAGGAGCCCGAGGTGTGCTCCGATCGGAGTGTCGGCACTTGGGAAGCAGTGACGCGATCCGAAGCGCCTTGATCGAGGGGCGTAGCCCGAAATCAAGGAAGAAATAAGAGCCTTGTTGTTGCGGTTCCGTACGCACGACATACATCTAGCTTTGGGTTTCGTGTTTGTCTCGTGAGATTACGAGAACGCGTATGTAAGAAGAGTTGTAAGCGAAAGAGAGAGGGAAGGAGCATAGTTGGGAGAAATCTGTTTAACAATCGGGATGATGATGAGATATCACAACGTATATAATGTTGAATCGTTTTGAGATAAACTCATCGACAGTGTCTTGATTCTGAGAGTTCGATTGAAGTGCACACAAAGGGTTAGACGACATTCTGAGTCATCCGTTATCGACGTGCCAACAAGAATCTCTGCTAATGTGCAATTCAGCAGATACTTCCTACGTACAAAAGTTAGGTTACTTGAATCTTGGGGATGACACCGACGGTAATACGTCGAATGTGTCCAGAGTATCAGGCTCTAGACCTGAGGGCCAAGTACCTGTATCTAGAAACAGATATGACGGCAGAACGTCCGGTAGACCGGTCGGTGCTATTGAGAGCTTTATTGAAAGCAATTCTTCAGATGTTTCTCGACAGACAACTACCACCGACTATAAATTGTACGAACGTGAAAATATAATAGCTGCTTCACGTTTTGCTACCCCCAAGCCAGTAGAACAAATTAGCGCGCAGCAACAACAGCAGCAACAAAATCAGGCTCGTGGAAATCACCAACAAGCTCCTGTTTATGAAAATATAGATTATTATCCGCAGCAAAATCAGCCTTCTTATTATCATACAATAGAATCTAGAAAAAGTCCCAAAAGCAGTCCTAGAGGTTCGTTGGTTGGCGAGTCGTATGAAGGAAATTTCAGGAAAGCTCAGCCACAAGTGCCAACAGGCAATCGTTACCAAAATGCATCACCAGCAAAAGAATTACCTCCTTATGAGGCTCCGCCAGTATACGAAAATATACAGGAAGTACATTTTTCTGAGAACATGCAAAATAAGCCAGGACCTCAAGTTCCTCCAAATTATTATCATCCAGCGAATATCAATGGCGGTGATTATGTTATTATGACCGGAAAAGTGAATCAGTCTCAACGAATGTCTCAAAATTTATCATATACCCAACAAAGAAGTGGAAGTATACGTGGTCAAAGTTATGATTCGAATTTACGATCGATTGAACCATCTAGGTACTTACAGAGCTCATCCTCTACCTCTTCGGATCATCAGTCTGGAAGAAGCGCTTATGTACCTCCTTCTGAACTACAACCGCCAAACAGAAACTTTAATTACAGCAGCTCTGATCAACAACAGTCTCCTAGATCTAGTTTACCGTATCACAGTGAATCTCCTCCGATACGCTTACCACCAGAACCTCATCATTATCGCAGTTCATTGGACAACACTGTAAGCGGGCAACAAGGATTCCGTGCTACAAATCAGATTGATAATAACCAATCTCCTCAGTATCGACAGGATAATTCACAGAATTACAAACAATATATTGAAGCTTCTTCGAGAACTACAAATGCGAATTTTACAGGAGATTCACAAGCTAGAAATTCCCCGGTATACGGGATTCGCTCAGGAGAACAGACAGCGTGTCGCAATCCACCGTGCTATTCTCCAAATCGAGCAATGCCTCAAAATGATAGAAATTATTATCATCAAGAGAATCGATCGGATTTTCCGGTGAGAAATTCTCCTGTTTATTCTTCAAATCGTTCCACCGAACACTTGAGACTAGGCGCGCTACAACAAAATGACAGAAACTATATATCAGATTTATCAGATACCTCAGCTACGAGGAGTTCACCTCTATATTCTCCAAATCGAAGTGATCCTACTAGAGCTATAATTGCTAACAACAATGCAACAAGAGAATCTCCAAAAACAAGTCCAACGCATGCTCAGATGTCGTCAGATATTGTATCGCAGAATGTAATTAATTCGCCCAGACATGGACTGTCTCTTTCATCCAATACTATTGGAAGTCCTGTACGTGGACAGGTGCAAGCTCCTGTTACTAGTGCTTCGACTGCATCTCATGAAACTGACACCAATACTAGTCCTAAAATCACTAGCCTTCCTCCCGGTGTCACGAGCGGAGTCGCAGGACCTGTATTATCAAACAATGCAGGGATGCATATATTGCAAAGATCTTCCAATCCGGAAGTAGAAGAGAAAAAGTCTGTCAGTCCACCAATCAAGCCTACACCCGGGAAAGGATTGCTACCTTACAATGTCATTTCTAAACCTTCGGTAAATTCGTCGTTATTGTTCGCAAAGTTTCTGTTAAAAATTCTTGCGCTTTTAAAACCTTTGTACTTCTGTATAACAAATTTGTATTTTTTAAAAATCCTTATGCATGTGTATAATTCTTTCCCTGTCTCCTGCATCGCCATTGCACTATCGTTTGTTAACATTGCTGCATGTTTTTACTTTGAGAAAGAACCGGGAATAGCGTATGAATTGCGTTAAGTGGGTTAAGGAAACTCGTTGATCATAATGTACATCAAGTGTGTACACTTTGGCTGAATGCCACAAAGACTATATATAAAATTCATACAAGTGAGATAGATAATGCTGATGCGTTCCAAATTCATCAAAGCATAAATCTTACTTCATTTGAATAACATATGCTTGTCGCAAACAATACGATTTGGATACATTACCGATGTGTGTGTACATTAATGTCATTTGTTCACACAAAGTAACACATTTTCCTAAAGTCTCTGACTAACTACTATATTAAAAAGCATGCTTAAAGCTCTTCTATCTGTGTTATATCAAAGATAATTTTACTAGCATTTTGTGTAATATATATATTTCTCACTTACACATATTTCTATTTTAGAATTATATTATGCATTATTAAAGCTGTTTTAACCATTATTTTTTTCTGTTTGGGATGTAACGGTTATGGCAAAAGACTTAAAGTTAATCGTAATGTTATAATGGTATAATTTAAAACGTAATACGTACGTCTGTAATCACACAACATGGAATTAAGTCAACTATTTGCTTCAGAATATTTTTGCGTGACTCACAACCGACAATAATCTTCGCAATTTTCTTTAACATACATTATTTAACATAAGCTATTAGTAACATAAACTACTAATCATCGGTAATATCTTCAAGAATTACTGATCTTGTTGTAACAATTTTTTGCTGTTAATACGTAGTTTTATCTGAACAAAAAGTTTGGAAAATCGTTTATGATGCCATTCGCAGAATTCTTTCTTCACGCGTTTGGTGAATCATAGCCTGTAAATTGCTCGCCGTTGACAAGCGACTTCCATTCGACGGATGATATTTTATTCATGAGATGGTCGTATTTCCGTGCGTTATTTTACATTTTTTGTATTTCGTTTTTCTACAGCTTTTTGCTTTGTACCGGCATATAAAAATCGATGTAGCAACAACGTAGAAATAATAATGTTTTGCAATATTTTCACGGAATTCATGTCAGATCATAAAGAATAGTACTTCTTGTGTATAAAATCTCTTTAAATGTAATTTAAATAGAGATAACAATATATGTTAGACATTTTTTTAAATAGTAAATTTGACTATAAATTACTTTTGAGCAGGGACCGACAGAAGCAGAAAGGAAAATTGAAGAGTTGACAAGACAACTAGAAGAAGAAATGGAAAAGCAGGAAGAGGAAGGAGAATACTTTGGTGAGAAAAAACCTGCAATATTTATTCGATTGTATCATAAGCTAGAAATTGACACTTTGTAGACATATCTTAAAACTCGCGATTTCTTCGACTCACTAAACAACTCCTCGAGAATAGTTCACAAGTAAGAGTGATCTTTCTCATTCGAAACAAATTTCTCTTTCTCACTTTTTTACGCAAGTGGCACACATACATAAAGATTCATATTGACATAAAAGTAGTCAATCATCACAATAACTATACTTTTCTTATTGTTAGTAGCAACTCTCTCAACAAGTAATACGCATTGCGTATCTATGGTTTCTCCAAAGTTTAACAATCGTATTCGTTTATTGCATCTCAACTTCTGCCCAGTAAGCAAAGTAAAAAAATGCCGATTGACAGCACGTAATCGCTGCCTTTTTGATAACAAATTGTTTGTTTTCAAACAGATTTTACTATCAAAATGATTGCGTGTATTCTTGTGCAAAGCGTTCATCGCTAAATTGAGCGATAAAACGTTTAAATCTGTACTCGCGTTTGTGTTTTTCATATTTTACAGTAAAGGGAAAATTAGGAAAACGCGCGCGCGACTTACTCGAGTGCTTTGCATAACACGATAACCAACGCATATGTGCGAATCCATAATTTTAGATATTTCTGAGAAGCGATAAAGGCGCATGCACGACGATACACACGTCGTCGCCGTGCCAATTCCCACGACGCGAGTTCGCAGTAGACCGGTTTCGGAAAACGGAGTCGAGTTTCGGATGCTTCTTTCCACGATATGTTGTACACTTCGTTGACATTCACTCTTTTGCGCACCGCGTTAACTTCTGCCCACGTATCACTTCGCGCTTCTCCTACGTAAAGGTCTGAAGACGAGTGTACGCCATACACGCGTGTACGACACCATAAGTGCATACACAAGTAGGTTGGCTGCTTTAATCTTACGACTCTTTAAAAAGTTAAAAAGGTAGCGCTCATACTAATGTTGTTGACGCGACGTATTACATCAACAGTGTGTACGTAACGTGGCTTATTTCTGTGGCTTCCTCGCATTCCTCAAGGAACATTTAGCAGTTACGCAATTCATAAAATCAGATTTAATGCAAGAATCAGAAAATTAAAGAAAAATAGTAACAATATTATAATTTTGCTGAATACGTTAGATAAACAGATAAATTAAAAAACAGGAGAGTCTACTATGTATATGTATTACAGTAATAGTTATTAGAAAATGGATGTGAATGCGGCCTAACGCGCGCAATAAGGAACCCACGAGCGGACAGGAACCTCGGTCGAGCGAAGCAATGTCAGTCGAGAAGTGGCAGTCGTTTAGGCGAACGTAATGTGTCCCTAGTCGTGTTTATACTCACAGAAACGGGCAATATTCTTCGTGTAACGTCCTGTACGCGAGGCCGTATTAACGCGGCCACGTTGGCCGGTAACTAATCTCGTTATAGATAGACCAGTTTGACTCGTTGGCTGATTCTACTAGTCGAACTAAGACTGATCCAGTGAAATCAAGTCGCAAAATTGAAACAACTAAAGTTATCGTTTATGTCCGCTAGTTACGAGAACTTGCCGCTTACGATAATGGCAGGATCCCGATTGCCCATTGAGAGCTGTGAGTTCACTTATTTGGTCTCGTTCGGCGAACCGGATGGTTTTTGACTGCAATCGGCTCTGATGAATGTGTCGTATTGTTGCGTCTGTCGATGCGTATATTTTTAACTCTCGGCGCGGTGCACCACGAGTTTCGTATTCTTGAACTCCGCGCGCAATATTGTCCCTCGCATCAAATAATTTTCGAGTTTAGTTTCCACGAAATAATACGACTCTATCCTACTTACACAATTTTACCTTAATTTATAGTTTGCTGTCATAATTTCAATATAAATTACCTTCTTATTACATTTTAAATTCGTGTTTCTAAATTATTGTTTCATACAAAAATGTTACATGCGTATGTCAAAAGAGAGTTAATAGTAGTTGATTACTCAACATTGTTATATAAATGTAAAACTTAGCTAATGTTTGTTGATAGGTATTTGCCATACATGTGGTGAGAAAGTGACTGGCGCCGGACAAGCTTGTCAAGCGATGGGCAACCTCTATCACACCAATTGCTTCATATGCTGTTCCTGTGGAAGGGCGCTCCGTGGTAAAGCTTTTTATAACGTTCACGGAAGGGTTTATTGTGAGGAAGATTATTTGGTACGTAAGTTGTTTAAATAGGGTTTTAAATCGCTCGCACAATTGTCAATTGTCCGCACAACTCATAGAAGTTCGTTTTACAGTATTCTGGTTTCCAACAAACGGCCGAGAAATGCGCTATTTGCGGCCACCTCATTATGGAAATGGTAAGCAGAGACTCGATCGTAATAATTCGCAGGTCTTTGTAATTCAGTAACATTGTATTTTGTGCTTTCCGTAGATACTGCAAGCGATGGGCAAATCGTATCACCCGGGCTGCTTTAGGTGCTGCGTATGTAACGAATGTCTCGATGGCGTTCCTTTCACCGTCGACGTAGACAATAAGATCTACTGCGTAAACGATTATCACAGAATGTTTGCGCCCAAGTGCGCATCGTGTGGCAAGGGAATCACGCCAGTTGAGGTATGTGTGTGTGCGCGCGCGCGCGCTAACAATTAACTCAATATTAAATTACACTAAGACGCGCAACAAGCGCGTCAACAATAAATCTTAATGAAACTTCTTCTTTCCAGGGAACTGAGGAGACAGTCAGAGTAGTTTCTATGGACAAAGACTTTCACGTGGACTGCTACGTTTGCGAGGATTGTGGTATGCAGTTGACCGACGAGCCCGATAAACGCTGTTACCCACTCGACGGTAGGCTCATGTGTCGTGCGTGTCACATCCAACGCATATCGCACACGCAACCGAGAGCGCCGCAACCGGTGTCGGCTAGCTATCAGTTTATGGGCTAAGTTGCACTGATAATCGTGCTGCTATGGGAAATTTCTTTCGAACTGCGCATACACAACGGTCATTTGATAACGAATACCATGGAAACCACGCTGCCAACTGTATAAGTTACACTTGATTAAAGGGGAAGGGGGACAAAAAGGGAGCTCTTTCTATTCGATTGGCGATACGTTAAGAAAATTGTGCCGTACATAATAGAAGATATATCGAATAAAACAATTTACATTTAGGAATATTGCGAGCACGAATAATGGAATATGATACGAGTCCGACTTTGCAAAATATCAATTTAATATAGAAAAGTTAATCGATGATTCGTTTATAAATCATGTATCGCGCAGGACTCTCGCTGCTAATAACTGTTAATCTATTATGATATCTATTATGCTAATAATAGAGTTGCTATTATTATTATACTTTCGTCAAGCGCAAGATATCAAAACAATATATATATATATACATATATATATATATATATATATATATACATTTTATCACTGATAGCTCATAATTTTATACAACACACGATTGATACGAAAGAACAGTCAATTTACCGAGTACTAAGTGTTTTTAAACGAATCTTGAAACATCGCGATTTTAATTAATTAATTGTTTCTTTTACACAAACGTGTCATTTTGACATAAATTTCAAGACTGGATAGAAAATCGAAATTATTACACTGCCCTCTTGGGATCATTTTATCAGTAAACGTAGCACGTAATTACTAAAACACTTGGTTTTAATCGAATCGAAAACCGATGATCTAGAAGTAAGTGGTTACATGTTTAATATATATGCGATTCTTTATTTATTTAGCGAAGGTATTCTTTCCTCGAACGTACTGGTCTTAGTAGGATGAATAAGTTGCGTAGGCAACTGTGATATAATAGCATAATAGGTTTATTGTTACGCAAACTCCATACTTTTTAGCGCATGTATATAATATTCATCACGGTCTTTTTACTACATGTTTATTATAACGGACAAATACGACGAATAAACTTCGGGAACATTCCTATGAATTTTCTCCGTCGCGAAATATTTCATCGTACTTTGTACATTTATAAAAGCGACTTTATTATTACGAATAAAGACATACAAATTCGGTTTTTTAGCACGGCAGTCAACGTGTTGACGGTATTTATTAAAACGATTACGTCGGTCTCACTATAAGAACTGTAATATTCATGTTTACCAATAATTGAATGGTATACTTCGAGAGTTATAGTGACGCGTTTGATATTTTCGCGGCGCACAAAGAACGAAGACTGGAGAAGCGTATGAGTGTAGTATCGATAGTGACAATATTATAGCAATCGTTTGCGTTCAGCAGAATGCACTCACTGTGCAACGGTTTACGATGTTTTTTAACCGTTGATAGTTAAAAAGCTACTGTGTGCAACAGAAAATGACAAAAATCATAAACGGTTGCGTTCTGCCAAACGCAGCTATTGAAAGACGCACAACTCAAGCTGCCAAATAAATGTGTTGTTACTCTTTACAACCTAATTGTTTCGATATAAAATTTAAGTAGAGCTTTAAGTCCGCGCGCGCGTATTGTAGATAGAACTATAACTCTATTTAAATCGCATATAGCATGTGTAAAAACTCGACAATCTTTCAATAAAGACGATTCTACAATGAGCAATTTTATTTTATCATGTGATTGTATTTTTGAGAGATTTTCCGACTTTATTTCTATCTTTAGTTTAAAAAAAAAACAAAGAAAATTGAATCGTGATTAACGGACTCTCGAACCAGTTGCAAGGTGTTATGCATTAAATTCTAATGAAGTATGAATCCAAACGTTTCGACTTTATTATTTAGTCATCATCAGTGGATTGTAATCTATGTTCATTTCTTTGTTCTGACGATAATTGAAGACAACATGCAACTCGATAACTTGTGTGTTGTTTGTATCGCACTTTCGTCAAGACTGAAAAACAAAGAAGTTGGATCCGTATTGACAATCGCGATTCAAACTAATTTGTTTTAAACATTTAGGTGAATGCATTGTATTCATAGGAAATGCATTTCAAAATGAGATACAGAATAGACATAAAATTCAGGACTTCAATTCACATGTATGCTTTATGTCATAATACAGTTTACATTTATACAACCAGAAATATACATAATTATCATATGGTTAATTCTCGAGCTACGCCGAGCCCACATAGGTCCGACATAGTACGAGCGTAAATGTTACGATTTTGGCGGTTCCGTTTGTCGGTCCGTTTTAGACTCTGTCTTGAATTTTGTCTTGTGTTCTGCTGCATACTTGTTTGATTGCACTGGCTACAACACGATTAAAAATAAATTACGGAGCGTATACGTTACGCTGCTAAATAAAACATAAAGAGGTCTACATTATTCACGCGATAAGAACACCTCACAAAGAACGAAACCGACTGAGATCAATAAGATATACTTGAAATTAAGCAAAACCGGTAACCTACTCATAGTCTTGCTCGCAGACTGTACCGTGTGTGCGTGTAAAAAGAAAAGCAAAGGCAAGATAGATTTCAAATATAGACACACAGGTGGTTATATGTTATAACATAGTTTATTTCTTCAATTTCACCAGATGACATTGCATTTCAGGTATAGTATTACTCACCTCTGTTGATTTAAGTTTGAATGATGGTGCTTTTACATAACCTAATTTGCTCAGGTGTCTGATAGCCATTGTTGTTCCGCCTGTGTTTTAGTATTAATATGAGTGCACACAACGTAAATATTTAAATAAATATTTGGTGTATATAAGATATTAAAACTACATACCAATAGTAACAGTATATCGAAGCGGAGTAAATATCTTGTAAAGTGCATAAGTTATGGCCCAGTTACCTGCGCTTGAATTACGTACTAAATCCACATACCTCTCACTAAAATTTAAATATTCCAATAGCTGTACTATGTCCACACCACTGAAAATACGCACATTACATTATTCGTAAATAACAGTGAAATGAACTGTATGCCCTTCAAGTGCATCTATACGTACTTCCTAACAGCAGTATAGAATATAGCTACCCATCCTATAGATGTAATTACGTGTACAGGTATTAAAACATGCCAATAATCTTTAGTCATTTGTTTCATTTTTTGGAATACTGATAGTTTTTTTTCTTTCTCGGGAGATTTGCAGTCACCCTCAGAATTTTGCTTGATATCCGAATAGAATGCCAAAGTGATTTCATTTTTGTTAACATTCTGTCTTAGTGATCTTTGATACCCAAGTATATTATTTACAAAACCTAAAGAATTATACGATGCCGGTCTGTACCGATGATATCTTTCTGCAAGCGAAACAATTCTAATAACGCACATGAATGGCGTTTTTTGATGTTCGGCATGTCTGAGCTTACCGGGAAATGCTGACTTCCACCGTGTTGTGTTCACGCGACACATACAACACGTTGATAACGGAAGATACTTCGTCAGCAATGTCGAGGCATTGCCGAATTCGAAGCTAAATCTCAATCCACGAGTCAAGATTATATCCATGTTTTAAAAATACTGCTGCACGTTTACTAACCAACAATTGTCACACTCTTTCTAGCAAGTTATTTCTCACGTCGAGATAGATTTACATTACACGAAACTTAGTCAATCGTACACTACACTAATCCACGTTTTTCTGTTATAATATTAATATGTGTACATATATATTTCTCACAATAACTTAAGTTAAAATGTTACGTTGTTTTCGGAAATAACCGGACATGACAATCAGATGATCGAACAAGCGTACAAACATACGCAAGATGACGCGAAGAAGAGGAGGGAGCAATTTTAGCGCTACCAATGCCACCATACAACTGATATGAGCGAATATACACCAAAGCAGCAGCAGAGAGAAAACTAATCGCTTTTCCGCCCTGTAAGCCAGCGCATTGTCAATGAGCGATGCACAACTACGTAGCCAAGTCCACGAACGACTTGTCGATATGTACGTTATGTTCAAACGTGGACATGGTTCTATTCCATGCTATGTTCACAATCGTGCGGTTCTATTCCGTGCTATGTGCACAAGTTCAAGTGCCGAGTTGAGAAAGATCGAACAGCCGGCCAGCACCGACAGTACCGAGGTGGTGGGAGTACGCACACAACGTGACTAAAGTAAAGTCACGTGACGTTACTTTAATAAGTAACGTCACGTTTTTAAAGACACGTAACTAGAAAAATAAAGTCACATGATTTTAGTCACGTGTTGTTTTTCATCTCCTTTTTGTCACGTGATTTTACTTTAGTCACGTGTTGGAAAAAGTGTCAGAATTGAGAAAATGACCACATGGTTCGACGCGTCTTGACGAGTTCTAAGAGTAAATTTTGTTTTGATATTCCGCCTGCAACCCATCGATTTTCGCGTTTGAAAGTGTTTTCGATGCCAGCACAGCATAATCGATTTTCTTCAAATACTTTTGTTGTCTTGATATCAGAACTTTTAAGAATGCTATGTCATCTTCGTTATTGCAAAGTCAAAAAAAATAGTAGACATTTTATATAAAAAATATAACGTCGCGCTCAGTTTGAAGTTTGCTTACGTATATTACGTGCACTTTGCAAAAACAGAAATAAAGAAAAAAATAAAAATAAGATCCAATTATTTATAACAACACTGTGCGAAGGTGTATACGCATATAAATATAACTTTGAGTCACCAAAATATGGAATAAACATTAGTAAATAAAAACTTTATAGATTACAAATAATAATAGGGGGAATACATTTCCAATTTCATTGTTCTGTGCACTATTTTGATACCACTGAGCAAACAGTCCTGAAACAAAATGAAAGATTCCTAATTTGAGGAGATATATTTTGCACTTTTAATAGATAATACTTTAAATCGTAACAAACGCGAATATTAATTTGAAGTCAACCTCTGTCGTCGCGACTTGTGATCCAACCGATGACTGGCTGCATTTCGTTCTGTCGTTTTAACCACGCATTTAAAGGCTCAAAATAATTGAGCATGGCACCAGCGTCTATTCTACTCGTTTTACCTCTTGTCATTTGCCTGACAACATCTTGCCATGGTCTAGAAGCTCCGATCGACAGAATGTCTCTGTAAAAAATGTAAATACAGACTTCTCTTTTTCTTCTTCTGATAATATTTATTTTATAATATCTAATATTATCATTTTATATTTTCGTAAATATTACATACGATAATAGACGACCTGCTTCGCGTGACCTATAAACATCGCAAGTATGCAATTCTCCGGTGTGACCAGAAATTTCACATAGTGACTGGAACAATTGAAATTGTAAAACAACGCTTACAAAATACCTAAAAATTAATAGAAACGTAGAAGGGTTTGTCTACATATAATTAATAACATCCGGAAACACATTTATAAGATATATATTCGTACTTAGTATAAAGACTATCCGCTGGAATGTGATACTTCGCTGCCGGATCAAAATTTCTTTCGGTTCTAGGTACAGGTGGGATAATGCCCTGATATTGCAATCTTAATTCCCACCAGCGTGCCGTCATATCTTCAACGCCATCGCTGAAGACGTGCCATCTCCACTAGTAAAAAATAAATAACAATAAATTTGATTATTTTTGAAAAATATAATATTATTTCTATAAATAGTTAAAGAAACTGTAAAATTATTACTGTTAGTTACCTGATCAACTATATAAGCGAATGGCAAATAAGCCACCTTACGGAGTGCCAATAGCATCAGAAAATTTATATTACTCTCATAATCATCCGTTAAGTTACTGTACAATCCGATTTTGTGTAAATGTTGAGGAGTAAATACAGACAAAACAATTGCGTCGCCAACGGCTTCGTAAAATCCTTATTAAAAACTAGTTGGTTAGAAATATTGAGTTCAACAGAATATTGAGTTTCAAAAAACAAAAAAACAAAAATATACCTGGAATCGCTTCGTTTCGAAATAATAACGGATGATCCTTATATTGTAAATAATATTGCAAATGCGCCATTTCATAATGTGTCGATAATAGATCTTCCATTGTTACTCTAGTACACTGCTTTATTCTACACAATGATATTAAGATCATGGTTAAAAAAACAATTTTGCTATTCGATGTAACATAAAGAGAGAGAAGAATTAAAAGTTAAAAAGAATTAATTTAATAACAGATGATTAATAGCAATTACACAGAAGCTGACCTGTAATCAACTTTATTACAAAAATCCCATGCACTAGGAGTGCACTTCACTTCCCTATCAATAGGTTTTTCAAATATGGAAAATTTCCAGAATTCCGGCGGCATCGGTTTCATTCCGAGTGACGTAAAGAACTCCTCCGCTATTTGGAACATCCTTTATTAACCGTAAACATATTCTTTCATAATATCAGTCTTATATTATGAGAGAGCTTGTGTTATAATGTATCGTACAATTTGTAAAAAATCTTACCTTAGCGGAGTAATGTTCTGTATCATCATATCCAAAGTGACATCGAGTTTTCTGCTCGCAGGAAAAGGTTGTACTAGTTCGAATAAATTTTCCCAGTTTTGGGCCCACATATTTCCCAAAATATGAGCCGGTAAAGGTCCATCTTCTCGTATTCTATCACCGTATCTTTCAAACAGTTTCAATCGCACGTAAGTGAAAAGATTCTTATAAAGCGGAGTTATTGCGGACATGACTTCCGCCATATTTTGCTGGAAATATTCGTCTTCGAACAATTCTCTTATCTGATCGCCGGCATCGGCAAAACCTTCGACAGAAAACAATTTCATGATCTTTTAACATAATCTCTCACAGAGTAAAAGTTTATAAAACACGGTTTATAATCTTATGTAAATATTTTATATAGAGTACATGCGTGTTATATTAATCACTTAAAAACTATCATATACCGTTTAATCTAGCTGCTTGATTGGCCAATTGAACATATCTTAAATATTTGTTTACAAGTTGTGGACCGATTGCCTCGTGCCAAGCGTGCCAGTAATACAATAGTTCATCATAGTCCTTTGACTGCGCCATTATGTTATTTATATCTAAAGATGATTTACATATAAAATATGTATATACACATTGTTATTTTTACATATTTAAGTTGAAGAACTCACCATGATCCAAACTCATATTACATTTGACGTCAAATTCTTTGTACGGACATACCCTGGCTTTAACGTAAAGTTCCTTCATCTCGGTTATCAAGCGGTGTATCTGGAAATCAGTAGTAGTGCGTAAATAATTATATAAACAAGATTGCCTGAGCCGTATTTATTTTATCGTTTTATTTTTACCTCGTTAAATTTATCGTCAGTCAAGGAACTCCGACCTTTAGTAGCGATTAATTTAAGTTGTCTTCGCGCTAAAGTATCCGGTATTCGACTCCATGCAAATGTAATTACTTTACGCCAAGAGGCTCTGTCAAACTTTAGTTTCAGTGTTTGTTCATCTATCTGATAATAAAACGATACAAAACATCATTTAACAATTTATATATAAATTATTTGTAAACAATTTATTGTTCATTAATTAGTATAAACACATTAGTGGTATAATTTTAAAACACAAGTGTTGTACCATTTTTTGACGATTTGCCTCAGTAACATTAGTCGCAAAATTCCATTGGGCCGTCGTCGTTGTTGCACATTTTAACAAAGCTTCCTTTTCATATTCTCTGAGAAATAAAAGTGCGTCTCCCAAGTTCACATTAAGACCCTTTAAGTGAGACAAAAAACAGTAAAATGTCAAAACACAAGCTCATATTATCCATAAGTAGCATTTCCTCATAAATATAGTTTTTACTTGATCTCTCGTTGAATCACAGAGTTAAATATAAATACACCTTGCAGTATCTTAAATAGTAAAACATTAAAATACAAAATGCTAATTACAATTTTAAGTGTACCAAATAACTTAACGTATATTCGAGAACAATTATCATATAATTTTTCAAGCATAACCGCAGATTTAATTTTTAAGAAGAAATGCATGAAATTCGCGCTACTTTACCTCTAAATATCTTCCATATATTTCTCTGTGTAACAGAATTACGAGAAACACAATTCGAATTCCTAATGTCGCCATTCCCATTTGCATATTTACCGCTGTACTAGCAATTGACATAACAAGCTGCTCGCACACTTTGAGATATTTTTCATTCTCTTTCGAGAGAAATCTCAACTTTCCACAATGCAAACGGATAAGCACAATGATGATTCAAATATAACATTCAGTACTGATTGAAGAACCGAAGCCTCAATGCTCTCGTCGCGACAAAACTGATTCATGGCAGAAAGACAGACAAGCGGGTCTTTCCGGGACGGATGAGCGAAAAGAGGAAGGGACAGGCACTATCGGTGCGTGAAGCGTAACTACTCAACGCATCGCGGCGCACGCCAAAATCTTCAAACATCGTTTTATCTTCGCAATTACTCGGATAAATGTGTCACAGTAATTAAATCTGCAAAAATCTTTCTACAAGTGTGAGATTTTATAACGCTATTATGGAATAGTGTGTTATTTTATTTTAATTTTCTTACTGCTACAAAAATGTGAACTGTTTTGAAGTGAAAAAATCATATTTTATACATCACGAAGACACCGTTTGTGTATTTATTTTAAAAAATTAGCAATAAAATATGTACAAAAAATATGTACGTAATACTAAATTTAGTTTTTCTTGTAAATAACGGTATGTACATATATATATATCTCAGAACTTCCTTTGTCTTGTAGATAAATACCGTAATTTTAATTATCTTTCCTAGTGGCGCAATCAGTGACAGCAAGACCGTGCAAGAATTGTTGTACGGAGTTGTTTCCACGCTTTATGAATAATCTCTCTTTAATAATAAGGGATTCTTGTAGCAAGGAATATTAGAAACCATTGTAATTATGTTTTTACTAGGTCTTATTGCATTATGTCATATTACTTAATGTATTTTTTGTAGTAAAAGTAAAATAGAAATCTTTTTATTCATAAAATTTATTCAAAGTTTAAATGTTATAGATGAATTATTGGTAAAAAATATTTCTTCACAATATAACCTTTAATTGAAATATTGACAAACAAGCTGCAATCTGTTAAATGTAAGTTTTGATTTGTGAAAGGAATGACCCGGTGTGCTTTGTATCTGTCTTGAAAACATACACATTACTTACAACGGTACATCTATTTTCTACGGTAGAAGTGGACACATAATATTTTTTGTTATGATGAGAGAGAATTCCACGTAACTATGTTCATCATTACGTACGATTTATATATTATTACATGACAGTAGAATATGCAAATATGTCAATTGTTTTTTCTAAACATAGAAACTTAAAAAATTGGAAGAATAGATATATTTGACAACTAAAGAATTTGTACGATGTAATATAAGTACTAATATGATATTGTTGTGCAGCAGAGAGAGAGAGAGAAGAGCACTTTATATTTAGCACATGTATTTCACAGTTATTACTTATTGAATTTTACCGTTACTTGTTGAATCTTCAATTGTCTGCTTAATTGCTTGTGAATTTTATGTAATTTGTCAAGTTCGGCGCGCACTTTAATGAAATCTATGACACTCGGAACCTGCATTAATGATAAGTTTTATATAAACAATTAAGTAACATAGATAATTGCGTATATTTTTTTGTTTTTCTTTTCTAACTCTTTGATATTTTTAAAATTAAAAACATAAAAGTTTTATAAAAATATATCACAATGTTGAGAGATATTACAAAAAAGTCTTTCGATAGTGACGTTATGGACAGTAGTTTCTCTTTTGATTTCTTTATTTCGGTCTTTATAACTTCTTTTTCCGATTGCAATTTTAAAATTTCTTCTTCATTAGAAGCGATCTCCTTTCTTATATTGTTTAGTGTAAATGTTAAGTTATTCAATTTTTCCTTCTGCTTTGCCAACATGACGCCATAATTACCTGCATTAAACGCAACAATTTATATTTTAAAAAAAGATCATAGTATATCCATTTCTTCACCTGCTACTTTCTTCATTTGAAGCAGACACTGAAATTTTTCGTCGATTTGTCGTATGCAAACTTGATTTTCTATGTTCAATTGTTCGAAGTCTATGGCGCGTAGAGCCTCACCCATTTGTTTTCTATGCTGCAGCTGTAGCTTAACTTTCCTTATTTGAGTCTTCACAGTAGCCGTTTTCAACCTGAGTCGTTCTATTGTAATATCAATTTCTTTCAATGATTCCTCTATAAATCTACATAAAATCGAAAATGTATTATATACATTATATATTTATATATTTGTTTTTCTTTTGTGTCTTTAAATAAAAATGAACAAGAATAAATTAATCAAATATTATATAACACCTAATAAACTTTTCAGCTGGTATTTTGCCAGTAATGCTATCTATGCCTTTTTTCACTATATTCTCTTCAAACTCTTCTTTAAAGCTATTAATTTCATCAATGCTAATTTCCTTTTCTTCAATTTGTGCTTGCAGACGTATGTGTTTCTTCGTCCACAGTTCTTCAAGTGTTATCAGTCCTTTTTGCCTTTCTCGAATTTCTGTATTTATCATATCAATACGGTACGCGTACGGAATTCTATAGTTATAATTATTTGAATTGTCGGTAAGTAATTCGAGACAGTAATGAAAATTGTAACGTTTGTTGAACTAACTTTCCTGTTATTTCTTTTTGTATTCCTTTCTCCGTTAAAATACTTGGCGACTTGAGATGTCGACTTCCGGATTGAAAGCTGATAATACTTCCTGCATCTTTTTCGTAAAGATTCAAAACACTTCCGGCTGCGCTCGTAACAGCTGAATGTTGACTGCGTTGAGGAGCGATTTTCTGTATTCGTTTAGCAGCTTCTAAGGTTTGCATTATTGCTAAAAAAGATACGTTAAAAAGAACTTAAAGTAATAATATTTTCTAAATATTATACTTTAAAATATAATATAAAGTGTGTAATAATGTGAATTAAAAAAATTTGATATAGATATAAATTAAATAAATTGTGTATTACTTTGAATACTTTCAGGATCTCGACGCATGAGATATTGTTCGTAAACTTCATTTTCTAACCTTAACAATAAATTCGAACGAACGACAATTTCGATTGCCTCTTGTAGTTCTGCGTCTGTCATGTCTAGAAATCAATAAAACGTTTCAGATATAATTAGATATAATCAGATATGTGTTTTCTCTCACCTTCATAACAGATTTCATCTTGTTTTGCAGATCCGTAACTGTAAACACTGGTTTGTTGTGAGAACATTTTTAGATCTCCAAGTTTAATTTGCTAATATATTATTTGTTAATATGTAACTTTAAAAAGTGTAGGATAGGTGAGTTTTTTTTTTACACTTATCGCATACATATTTTTTTAAATAATTTCTGTTACGTGAATATGTCGTGAAAGTGTAAGTTTTTTTTTCAGTTGTTTTTAATTTTATATAATACTTAAATATTTGAAGCAAAACATACGAGAAAACTATAAATTCACACTTTCTATTAATTATGTTTATTTTATTATACATTTAATAAAAATAGTAAAGATATATTAGATACGTTGTACAAAATTACACACATTACACATGGCACATTAATTAATAATGTCTAAATCTAAAAGATCTTTATCTTTTTTAAGAATAATATTTCTCTCAAAATTATTTTACATTTGTGTGTGTTTGTGTTGTTTTGTGAAGAGACATGTATGATATCCTAGACAGTAAATAATGAAAAGCGATTTTGAGACAGTCCGTCGTATATGTAGAGAAAATTAAAAATGTAACTAAAGTCACGTAACAGGAAAGTGTAGAAAAACAACACGTGAAAATAACGTGACTGTAATTTATATTATATATAACATTAAATAATACATATTATATATATAATTTATTATATATTTATAATATTATACTTTATATTGTATTATATGTATTATATACATACTACAGTAATGTCACTGATCTCGGCCGCGCGGCCTTGGCGCAGTCACTGACCTCGGCCGCGCGGCCTTGGCGGGGTCATTGACCTCGGCCGCGCGGCCTTGGCGGGGTTACTGACCTCGGTCGCGCGGCCTTGACGGGGCACTGACCTCGGCCGCGCGGCCTTGGTGGGGGAGGGTCACTGACCGCTGCCGCGCGACCGCGGCGGGGTCAATGACCTCGGTCGCGTGACTGCGGTGGAGTCACTGACCTCGGCCGCGCGATCGCGGCGGTGTTACTGACTTCGGTCACGTGACGGTATATGTATATATACATATATGCGTATGTGTGTGTAGTATATATAGATATAGAATATTACATATAATATATATAATATTCTCTTTTTTACCCTTTTCTTTGTTAAGTGACTTTAGTCACGTGTTGTTTTTCCACTTCTCTCTCTCACTATTTTTTGAGTTTGATGCGTTATTTCTGACATTTCTCATATGTGTATTATATGGTTTATAAAACGTATATACTATCTGTCATCGCGATGACAGGTTGTGTTCACTGACAACACGTTAAATAAAAATAACAATAGGGTGCGCGTAGCGCGCGCCTGTGTTGTGCTAGTAAATACAAATGAACTATCTAAAATACAGAACAATATATTCTAGTTACGAGATTTCCATTAAAGCTTCTTGCTGTATTTCAACATCATTGACGTACAAAACGTACGCTATACCAATGTCCTTCTGTTCTGAACTGTAAGACCTGATTGTAGCCGGTAAATCGCCAATGGAGAAGAGAATTTCTGCACCACCGTCCGTAAATTCATTCTGTATACCAAATATTATATTCAAAATTTAAAGTAACCGAGGCTTATGCGTTTCGAAAAGCTAATTGAAACATAATTTAGAAGTTTCAAGTGATTTAACAAAGTGCAGACATGTTTCACTAAATAATATCTTAATTAATAATATACATTGTTTCTTAAATAAGATTTAAAATTTTATAATTACCTCGACTTCAATTTCTTGTCCATTTATCCACACATTATGAGCCTGTTTGTCTACAAATATATGAAAAAATCAAAAATTATTTTGATAAATATAAAATCGTTCTCGTTAATTACCTAACACAATTCTATATTCTTCGTTTCCAACTTTGGCTAACCAAGTTTCCAGTATTTTAGATTGCGACTGAACAAACTGCTTATAACTCTTTCCATTTACCCACAACGAGTAAGAATATTTCAGACCTGTATTGAATCGTATCACGATAAAACGATAAAATATTTGTCGTCGCGTGCGAAAGAATAAGATCTAATAATAATCTACCTGGCATTGGATCAACCCTGATCACGAATTTGGTATTATTAAATACAAAGACTTCGTCACCGACCAAGCGAAACATCCAGTCCCTGTGAACTATTTCATTACCATCGATCTTTACCACACGTCGGCCTGTTGCCGTTCCATGTTCGAATTCTACCACATGATTTCCGTCACTTAAAGGAACTGTCCATTTAGCGGTAGGGTCATCTGGTGAGCTTTCCAAATTATGAAGACTTCTACAGAGAAATATAATCAACTAAATAATGTAATAGAAAATAAATAAAAAAGAAATAAACAGTAAAATAATATGTTATTTATACAAGAAAAATTACGCACTTATTTTATTATAAAATTATTATCATAAATATATACATATGTATATGATGTAGCGTTCAATATTTTACTTTTAGAACTTTTAGCATACCTATATTATATAAAAAAGACAGCGCGTGTACATGTGCAAATAAAGCTTAAACGAAACGTATGTTTATTAAGCTATAAAAACAGTTACATTTCCAGTACGTGATCATTACTGCTCGTAAATATAAGTGCAATGTGAGACCTTGACAGTTGCTTATATTTTCAGGAGTGAAACATTAGCAGAGATAAGCTGATATATATAATTTAGCGTATAATAACTTTTTTTAGAAAAATAAAATATATTTATAACTTCTTTTTTAATTAAAATCTGTATAAATTTACTCACCGAAGTAGAACGCCTGCCATGCTTCTTCTGGTTGCACCTGTACTGGCCTTCTTATTGATCCGCTCTGACTATGACTTTTGTTCCAATCAATAATAGAGTTACTTTACGTCGTACCACATATTATTTTTTTAAACACATTCCAGTAAGTTGTTTTCTTTTTAATTGTTTTATAAGGTACAATTGATAATATGTTTCTCTATATACATATACAAATATTATAAAAAATTAATTATTAAATCTTACTACTGACGAAAAAATTGAGAGAATGTACACACACGTACTAGAAGAATTTTATTAAAATGCAAGATAGCAAACATGTATAAACAAATGTGGTTTGTATTTTCATACATTTTTTATTTGATAGTTTTATGTATTTTTATACATTTTACTCTGTGTGAGCAGGTAACAATTTACCCGTGCACGACCCGAAACCGATTCTGTAACCATCACCGACACAATAACCTGGAAGACATTGTTTATAAAAATGACCGTGTAATTTTCAGACATACACCAAATAATTCATATTTGCACTTACCGCGCAGAATTATCTCGTCCCCGTCTTGAAGAAACTTTCTCGTAGTACCGTCTTTTAAAGAAATAGAACGTGTTCCTTTCCAAGATAATTCCAGCATAGAACCATAAGAATCCGAAGTCTAAGAAGATTTTTTGTAAATAATCAAAGCTGCATAATATATAATCGGTTTGGAAAAAATAGATAAAGTATATGATATTTTATAAAACTTTACTGTACAACTATTTATCACATTAAACGTGCCGAGAATTAACAATAGAACAGAAATCTACAGTATAATAGAACAAATGTTTTGAACACACACCTCTCCGCTTATAGTTCCAGAAGCCATTAAGTCACCAGGATTAATGTTACATCCAGTGACAGTGTGATGCGCCAGTTGTTGTTGCGGAGTCCAATACATGTATTTGAAGTTACTTCGGCATATAGTTGTGACTACACCACTTGGAGCTGCAAAACCAAAAATACAACCGTAAGCAATATAAGTAATATAATCGTAAGTAATATAAAAAAAATAGTAAATAATTAATTTGTGCATTCTAAAAAAAAAAAAAGAAACATAAGAAAATATCGATTCTCACGTTTAAGATCTATCTCCAATTTAATATCGAAGTTGCAAGATTTGTCATGCTGCAAATAGGAAAATGGCGTTGGATCTTGGCTCATATTGGGTACTTTGAAGGGTTCTAGAGCTTCCATTGTAATCACCCACGGAGAGATTGTAGTTCCGAAATTTTTTGCGCCGAATGGACCTAATGGAACGTACTCCCACTTTTGAATATCACGTGCTGCAGAATAGAAATTGAATGTAGAAAATAAAACAAACTGAAATTAAATCAATATACATTTCAGCAAAACGTAATTATTATCGCACCACTCCAATCATTCATTAAAACCATCCCAAAGATATGATCATAAGCTTTCGAGGCTGGAATAGTATCGCCAAGATTTGTAGGTGGTCCACCAACGAAGAAAGCAACTTCGAGCTCAAAATCCATCAATCTACTAGGGCCGAAAGCCGGCGCTGCGCCCTCAATCGGAAGTGTCTGACCGCGTGGCCGTCTTATAAATGTGCCTGATACGACAACGGAACTTGCTCTTCCGTGATAGCCAACCGGCAAATATTTCCTAGTTATTTGATATAGAGTTTTAAACAGATTTAAAATATATATAAACCAGCATATATAATCATCTATTGAAAAGACGTTACCAATTTGGTAACAGTGCATTTTCTTTGCCACGGAACATAATTCCTGTATTTGTTGCGTGATGAATAGAGGAGAAGAAATCCGTGTAGTCGCCGATTTTCGCAGGCAAATGCATCGTTGCGTTCTTCTGTGCGATAAACACTCTAAAAACATATTACAAAAATGTTACAATAATGGTTTTAAAAAAATCTATATCTGCAGCATAATATTTAGTTATCTCTGTCTTACTTTGAACGAATAGTTGGATTTTGTAAAGTAGGATTGCCCGAAGAAAGTAACTCTTGGAGTTTCGCTCTTGCTTCTAGCCATGCTGGTCTTCCCAGAGACATAAAATCATTGAGACAGTCACGGCGGAACACATCTTGCTTATCTTTTAACAAAGGGCCATCAAAATAGTTTGCGATAGCGTTCAAATTTAAAATTTCATCGCCAATTGCCACCCCTATTGTCTTTTCAGGCTGAAAAATAATATATTCTATGTAAATATTTATATTTATACATGTATTATACATATTTTATTACTTAATACTTAAAAATTATTGTCATTTTGTTTTAAATCAATTACACGTAACATTTTGTGTATATTTTAAAATTATTCTCCGAACAAATCGAGTGATGATAGTGTACCAACTGGTGGTATTGCATTATGAATACAATCGAAAATATTTTTTACTAGGTGGCGTTAACAACACATTCCATTTATTTTTTTTTTTGCGTAGATATATACAAGCAACATACAATAATTTGTATCTAATATATATTACATATTATTTTTGCATTTTTTAAACTATTATAACGTTGTATGACTGCGAAAAATGTCCTTATATTATAATATATACATCTAATGAAGAAATATTCTAATAATCTATGTCTCAAAGTTACACAATAATAAAATTATGTAATAAAACAAAATATACGCATGTTGACTAGTTACACAATGTAATAACATCTTACTCACGATATCTTTCGTAGAAAAGACTCCGTACGGTAAATTCTCAATCGGAAAATCGCAATCTGCCGAGTAATTGATGAAAGATTTCATGGTTACAGCTGTTACAAACGAACGACTGTTCGACTGTTGACTATTTTCCAGCCCGAGACGTTACGAGATAAGTTCTACGTGTTTGTAGGCTCGCCTCTCTAGGCCAACAGGTCGTATAATATATGTAAATGTATTTTATGCGTTTGTACCGACGAGCCTCCGGTTTAACTGGTTCTGTTCACAAATACAACAAAAACTTCAGTCGTAAACTTCAAATAGCTGATGATTAGATAAAGTTACATAGACAGCATTTAACGCGATATAAGTATTATCACTCACAAATATGTTCTAGTTTACTCTTTCTTTAAGTGATTGTATAAAATTAAGAGAGTTTTCTTTAACAAATTATTTCATTTTGATATTTCATTTTATTTTAATTAAGTTGTGCATCGCGCAGCAGCAATTAACAAACCAATGTTTATTGATTAATTTACTTGATGTGATACTCTCTCTGTATGTATTTCTTACAATACGTTTTGAAAAATAAAAGATAAAAGAAGAGATTGAGATTCACATATTTTAATAACTTGGGATAACAGCAGTTTATTAGACATTGATATACAGTGGATAATAAGGGCGATTAGGTCGATAGGTGATATTCGTGAACAGCGTGGTTACGTTCCAGCAATCATCCCCGCATCGCCGCATACTCTCGCTTCTCTCATTTAACGAAATAGTCGCACACGCATGTACATATATATATATATATATATATTGTCTCTATGTATATATAAATGTATTTCTCATTACGTACAGTATACAAGGACAGCTTTCTCCTCGTATTTCCGAGGCTTTCTCGCTAAATGCTAACCGGTACTCTCATTGTTTTTTGGAAGACTTGGGACTTTGTTGTTTTCTTGCCTTGCTTCGTTACCAACTTAGGCTAATAACTGGATTAACAATTAACGATAACGAGATCAAGGGCTTGTATAGTCGGCGTGATAAATCGCCTCTAAAGGAACTTAGATATATATTATTACGCTTATCAAAGACAGAGTCTCCTTATTTCAATAACATAACGTGAAAGATTGTTTGTTGTTTACATACACACGCATTTCTCGTCGATGTAGACTATCGAAGAAAACGAGCTGTAACGACAAACGTAATCGCTAGCGTAAATTTTGCAAGAAGAAATTCTACGATCTAATAGTAAATGTAATGCGCAGTGAATTCGAATAAATAATATAAGTGTCTAAAAAAAAATATTCAAAAAACACGATCTCAAAGATAGATAAAAACTTGCAAATTGCGCAATTTAAAAAAAACGCGCATAATACATACACTACGTGCAATGTGTGTGCGCGCATAAAATACACTATAAAAATTAAATATAAAGTTTCTCTTGTAAAACAAACTTTATATATATTTAATCCTGTCGCCAATATAATGCGTGAATGTAATGGCATTTTATATATGTATATATATGTATATATATACAAACCTTTACATATTCACAATTCATCGATTAGCTACAAAAAATTATTATACCATGTGCGGCTCTACACGTTGTAACTGTACAAGTAACATAATTTCTGTGTGTGAACAGATCTATTACATACTTTAATGTCGCTATTAGTAACAATTGCTAAACTATCTTTATCTACTTTCTTAAATATACGCTAATATATACGTGTTGTTTATATACGCAACTTAAATAATTGGAAGTCTACAGGGACGAGTATACTTTCCGTACAAATATATCACTCTTTCCTTAAAAAACGATCATTTACACGGGAATTAGTAAGACGCGTATATATAATCTCGGGAAAGATTCGTTTATGAGTAGCATCGATTGCTATGTCGGCAGTGCCAACGACTATGACTAAAAAAACTCGCAACGCCGATAGAATTATGAATAATAAATAACAACAATTTGATATATAGAGTGTTTTCTTCTTTACAGGTATCGGTTTCTGGTCAGATGAATTTTGTTTAATTCGTTTTCCGCTCTAAAAATACATTTTGTCTCGCCTATCGGCTTATAATGATTACAAATGAACTCTGTGTTTGAACTCTGGATCAATAAATACAATTTAATCTCTCGCAGATAATGCAATGTTCTCACAACGTTCTCAGGACACGAGCTCGCGAAATTGTTTTAAGGCTGCTTTATCAAAACTCTAATATTTTTTCATATGATTTCACAATGAGATTTATGAATTTCTTAGAAATGATCATTTTTGAGGATATTTTCACGTTTTTGTTCGATAAAAGAAATCAGAATCTTCTATTGCAGCTTTTTGTATAAAAATATAGATAAAAGAGAATATCTTAAGAAGTGTTATCTCTTCAAAAACTGCTTTATAGCAAAAGATATACTTTACAATAATACTTTCTTTTAATTAAATTACAACTTGGATTCTTTTTTTTTTTTCAATTGTTTGGTTTTTGCCTCATTGATGCAGAGTTCAGCATTATGTAACGCGCTTATACTTTATACATTACGTACCTTTCGTAAAATTGACATCGCCCGATATAATCCATCAGCCAAGCGCAATTATTTCAATTACGTATGATTAACATCTTTGGCATTAAATTGCACGTGTGTATCAGGATATACCGATTATTCTCTACTTTGATTAATCCCACATTAATTTAACCCCAAATATACTAGTAGTACGGATCCTGGATCTAAACTGTGTCTTTGTCCTAAATATGTCCTCTTAAGCTAATTTTTTTTTTTTTTTCATGACGACATCGCAGTCGTCGGCGAAGAAGAAAATGCGATGGGTTCCGAAAATGTACATAAATACACTCATATTCTTTCGTATAATTATATCTAGATATGTTATTTTACTTATATGTTAAATTTCTTTTTCCTTTGTCATACTCTGGCGAGTGAGTTTCTGAAATCTATATAGAATCGTTCGGTAGTATCGTCGAACAGATCGAAACGTTCTCGTGGAGTCGTTCGTAGTGAGAAATTCACTTTGTAACACATTATATAGAACATTATATAGAATTAGTGATATTGAAATGTAAAACAATGATTTGAAACACTAAAAATGTGTAACAATAAAGATTAGAAAAGATTATATCCTATTAATATTTTAATTATGTATGTAACAAAATTATAGTCAAAACAGGAATTGACTCGTTTCTAGAACACTCTAAGTGAATAAATTTCAATATAATCCATGATTCATGACTAGTATTGTGTGATGGGTATTTGTTCGTCTTTAACTTTAACAATAAGATCATACTCTCTTTTCTTCACGAAGAATAGTGTGATTGTACAATGCTAAAATGAAACGATAAGATAAATCTCTAACAGAATCGACAAACCGAAGGGGAATTGTTCGCATAAATATTTGAAAAAGCATGTACTTTCATGGGTTTGTGTTTTTTTTTTGTATTTCTTAAAATTTCAACACTAAATATATAATATATATGCTTTAATATATTTATATATTTATACTTTTTTTGTAATATATATCTATATATTAAATAGTACTCTGCGTTCGATCAGAATTGTTTAACAGTTTAAATTATAATATACGTGTAGGTATTTGTAAAGATGGACGTAATCATCCATCTTTGTAACGTTATCTTCGCAAACAATCGATAAATTATGAACTCCGTCATTATCTCAACATAATAATGCACAGCATTAAATGTATTTTCTATAGAGAAAAATAATGTTATTGTGTGTTATTCAACAGCACCACGGCAATCAAAATTTCCGTAGCATTCGTTGTAACTCGTACAACGGAGACAGAACAACGCTTAAGCTCAGAAAGAGAGTAGCTCTAAGAAGAAGCTTATCATTTACGTTCTAGATAAAATTCTAAACCGTTCGAAAACAACATTCTTGCTTTTTCTTACTCGAAGCGCGTGTCTATTGGGTTGCGATAAATTCGAAACCATAAAGCCTTCTATAATTGTGAACAAAGAGTGGGTGTATAAGCTATTAAAATGTTTTAACAAATTGAGAATTTAACGTTTTCATAAAATTATTATTTTAAACTTAACGATTTTATAAATATTAACACAAAAGAAACATAGTTTTCTACAAATTAAAACTAATTCTTCTTTTATAATTATCACAAGATAATTGTCACAAGAAAAACAATTTATTTAAAAGCCGGATGTACACTATTATTGCTTCGATTTACGAGAGATTACTGACAGTTTTTTTATCATCTCGCGCGGATATATTACTCTATGCATCGAGCTGCAAAAAATAACAAGTTTGCATAGCTTACGGCCGGAAGCATTTTTAACTTTGTAACTTGACCTTTCGTTTCTTTGGATATGCCGTGTATTTTCGTTAAAATCTAGAAAACTTATGTACTATATCTTTTTTAATATCTTTTAACGTTTAGGCTGCTATTACGAACTCTGGCCGCAAGATAAAGAAGCGTTCACACACAAATGCCTCTCATTAGAATCATTCAAATATCCTTCATTGCAATCATTTCCTTCGTTTCGTTTTACCGATGAAGATTCACATGTCGAATTAAATTGTTTCTCTATCATATTAGTTTTAACGGCTATTGTGGATTAAGTTTTAGATTTTTTTTAAATGAAGCTTTGAATTTTTGTTATAGTACATATTTCTTTTATAGAACACGTCGCGAAAAATGTACTCAAGTGGATCACATGACGACGGATGCAATTTTGCCAACGGTGTATGTATGTGTGTATCAGTCGTCTAATTACTGCAATATTGTACGATTAATGTGGACAGATTTCTTACAAGTCATGACCCAATCGATCCATCTCAGCCAAGAGAAAATCGACATCGGCTTCTGTCACGGCGGCACTGGAGATGATATTCCTGAAGAAATTCGGACGTCGATCGTCCGGCTGATAGCCGACCATCAGTGTACCAGCTTGCATCATGCGACCCTTCAGAATCGGGCAAATCTGAAAAGCAACACATCTTTTGTTTAGAAATACGCGAACATACGTGAAAATAATTTATGTTTTATTTAATAAAACTAGATCTCTTGTATTAAATGTATTTATTAACTGCTGCTGATATTTATACAAGATGTTCTAAACTCGTGTCACACGCACCTCGCCTAAGATTTTTATTCTCTCCGCAGTATGGGGCATGTTTCGCACGCGCGTGGGCAAATACCAGAAGCAAACGTTCACCAGTTCAGGCTCGAGAATCAAATAATACTTGTCGGGCATTTGCTTGATCCTTTTAACCATATACTCTGTAAGTTCCATCAATCGATCCATATGCTTCTCGAAACCCTCAGTACCCTGACAGTAAAATAACAGATTTACTCCATGTAAGGCTTTAAATCATAGAACTATAGAGACGTAAGCACGTCGGGGAACGAAAAATCGATGTGTAGCGAGAAAGAGCAAAAGCGGCTTTCCGTAACAATATAAGGGGTTGTTGTACCTTGGCGCGCCATTGCAGCCAAAGCTTGAAAATGTCGTTGTGACGTCCGCATTGAATGACCTTATCGCCGGTGTCGTACCTCACGTCGTACAACTTGTCCGTCATGAACAGGTATTCCGCGGACATTTGGTTACAGCTGATCAGCAGTCCCTGCAAAATGAAAACAGCTCTCGCTTTCAAAACGCCGGGAGAGACGGACGTGCGCAACATTTTTCCGATAACGGAACGTCTCCAGAATTGTTTCGCCTGCTTTCTGATTGACAGGCGTTGGAGGGCCCGTAGGAGGAGAAAGAGGACGAGTCACTGTCTGGATCGATATCCTTTCAACACATGCGCGCGAGGAGGTACACTCAGGATATTGAATTTACAAAATGGCGGACATGCCACGCCAGTAATGTCTTTTCATTACTACTGTGACTAGTGGCTACTATTGTTTAAAATTCAAGCAGCTTAACATTTGCGAATTTCTACATCTGTAGAAGCGAAAAGTACGATTTATCTTGAGAAATATTCTATTTTGATCTTTAAAATTGTACAATATTTGATGTAGTAAATTTTTACATACATATTCTTATTATTTAATGTATTGCTTTTTTTATCAACACTTAACACAGTTGTGATGCGTAATATTATATAAATTATTATATTTACCTAACCTACATTGTTTAGATAAAAAAAATAAATTAATATTTTCACATTTTCTAATTTTGCGCGTCTGTATTTGAACAAACTAATGTGACTGTCACGAAGCGTTTCTTGAACGTTGCGCTTCAACGTCAACGGCAACAGGGCTCAACAAAAGCACGTCGCGTTTTCCCCCGGATATCTCGCGGCAGCCGGTGCGCGGAATTTTAATATCCGAAGGGGAAGTTCGGAGTTAGCAATAACTGAGTTGCGTGGGGGATGGACTCTCCCCGGCGGCGGCGCGTTGTAGACGGACGGCAACATATGTTATCTCTTAGTTTAATTAAATTCCTGTAGTGCCGCGCGCCTCGGCACGTAGATCTACCCTTACGGAATGCGGCTAGTGTTATGTCGTTGCCCTTGCGCGCAATGCAGGAATTTCACCGTACGCACCGAAACAGGCGGAGATATTACCGAAAGTGCAACGTCTTGGACACGTCACAGATGCACTTGTCGACATCTATTCGCACATGCATTTTATAATAAAAATCTATTTTTTTGTAGCATTTTTTTGCAAAACAAAGAAAGAAAGTTCAAATAGGATTTCGGAAATCAGAATACAAATGCTTGATATAAAAATGTAAATATTCAATACTGTAGTGAAACATTTTTACTGATAAAGAATGATTAAGAATGATTCCTAACGTTTACTTTTTTAATTCATAAAAAATCTATAATACATAAAATTTTATATGTATATGTTTTATCTACAGATTAGATACATGAAAAAAATTGTAACTTACATCTTCCTTAAAGTGAATAGTAGAACATTGAAGCAGAGCACCCATAAGTTTATGAGGATTCCATGTTACTGAATCAGCCCTGAAAAATTATTAATCAAAAAATTAGCGTTTTATCAATCTAAAAACTACCGATTTAATTTAAGATGTGAATTTTTATATTTCTGGTAATGTAACTGAGATTGCTACGAACTTAAATCAGAATGTATTTTATTATTTAGTGACATTTTTGTTCACAACAATGAAGTTTTGATTTACTTTTTGGAAACAAAAATTCCATCTTCGGATTCTTTTTTTTTCACAAACTAGAAACATATCTATAGTAACAAGATTTATCGAGTGTCGGCTATATATATTTTTTGTGGATAGTCTGGAAGAATTATTCTTTTTCTCCCGCGTTATCAGCAATCTGTCGAAGCGAGTCGCACCAAACCGACTGAAAAAGCCAGTCGACCTCAGCTGGTCGTCAAACTCTTATCCACTCCCACGGGAACCAATAGGGGATAAAATATGAGTTATCTTTCCACTGTGTGCCGCAGAAGGGGGTCTATCAATTCGAGAGAAGAGCTATTAATATAGCCACGGGATCGGATTTAACCCTCTGGTCTTCTGGGACTCATACTTCCGCGGTAAAAACCTCTAACCCTTCTTAAGCTTTGAAAGAAACTTTGTGATGAGTGAGAACTTTCGCGCGTTTACATTCCTCCAAATGCAACTTTGTGGTATGTCTTATGCGTATAAGAGATCATCGATTAATGATCTAATTAAAATAGAATACAGATAGTTTGAAAGTATATAATAAAATAAAGATAAATATTTAGCATGTAAATAAAATGTATTCAAAATTAAAAATATGTTTTATATACATGATATAACTTAATTGTAACGTCTTGTAATTATGAAAATTTTGTCTGTAAGTGTATGCATCGCGTGCTCCATGATAAACGTTTGATACTTGGCAAGTGACATGTTTATCGCGACACTGGTCTTGCGTGTCAGTTGAATGCCCCGTGGAGGATGCGAGGGTAGTCTTTGAGCACCCTTGAAGCGCGATTCGTGTCGTTAGCAGACGCTGTCCATTATTCACACGTGTGCATCCTCCTTCATGTTGCACATCAACACACTTCTGTTCGTTTATGTTCAATGAAACTTGCGCAATGTTTCTTATCAAATTTACATTTAACTTTTTAGATTTATATTCTTTTGCTACAATAGCGCGCATATATAACTTTGCAAATTTACGACAAGCGATCTCTTTATGTGTTCGCAAACATGTTCTCTTTATATGCTCGAGAATAAGTGAGCATGTATGTGTACGTTTATACGTAACAAATCAATATAGTGAGGTAGAAAATGTTCTTTGTATAAGACGTTCGATAAGTTGAGAAATGCGTGTAAAGTTTGAGTGATTAATGCGATTCGCAGCTGGAGCTGGCGCGCGTGGTAGCCCTCCATTCGCTTTTAAATTCGTCCGAGGTGCCAACCCCAAAAGCTGTGTGCGCGATATATATTACAAGGGATGTTAATTACCCGCACCCCTTGAGCGTAATGTGTGCAGATTACGCTTGCGAAAATTCCATTAGATAGTGCGGATTTTTTATCTTCTGATTCGGTAATGATGATCGAAAGAGAACGTTCAATGTTAAATACGTTAACATTCATATTGTTTTTTAACTTAAAACTTAATCTTATACAGAAATAAAAATCAGGGAATTTCTGTTTTAAATGTAAAAACTTTCCAAAAGATATTTAAGGAGAGAGAAAAAGAAAGAAAGAATAATGAGACTGAAATATACATAACAATTTGCTTTTCTCAAAAGATTAATGATACAAGCTTAAATTTAACCTTCTATAGCCCGATTTTTTTTGTAAGTATAAAAAAATTTGTTTTTATTTATTTATTTTTATGACAATTGCGATAAATAATCTCCATGCTCACAAAATAGAGGTGACAGAACAAGATGCGTATGTCACATTGCGGCTAAAAGTCAAATTAGACTAAAAGAATATCGATATATCGGTATGTGACTTCACAGTCACACGATAGAAGATTAAAATTATAGCAATTATAACACTTTAAAATTAATATATTTGGCGAAAGTAGAGCAGATGATTTGACTTCTGTCCTTGACAAATAAAGACGTAACAATCCGAACTTTACGTATACATCCGCATAGCCTTTCTCAGTTTGCCCTTTCAAGTTCACCGATAATTTCGACTTCACCGAGAAGGTAAAATCACGACGTCCTTTCTACACAATCCGGAACGCGGATGCGAGGGGGACCGAGAGGAAAGAGGACCTGGCGAGCAAATGAGGGAGGCAGTTCCCTTTGTACGAGTTTAATCCAGCATTGTCAAGGCACCAGCTTTTATTTCAGCCTTGCGGAGGAAGGCACGGCACCGCGACGCGTCGATATATAAGAGAAGAGTTCTGTTCTGCAAATGTGCTCCAGGGAACTGATCCAGCTGTTGCTCGTGCGTCGGATCTTTCTCTGCACGCCGTTCGTTTGCCATTTTAATCAAGACTTCCAGGAAGGAAGTTCTCGTCGCAGTACAGTCCGCGTAAAAAAAAAAAAACTCGCGCATTATCTGCGATCAGTATAATAATTTTTGATTCAAACACAATTTTCAACTAAGTTGTAATCACATGTGCGGTGCGTAAAATATCAGTTAGATGAATTTTGCGTAATAAATGGAAAATAAAAATTTGTTATATTTTTACCACACACATTGTCATTATTTATCATAAACACTTGTAAACACATGTAATTATACTGCTTATCAACAACTTTCTGAAATACTGTGACGTTTGACAGACATGGATGTGTGTTTTACTGTTTTGTTTTGTATAGGTATATAAATCATTTCGAAGAGACTCCTTGCACCGCGATTTTCAGGTCAGGGATTGTCCGTTGTTGAATTGGAGGGAGCAGATGCGTCTGGATGCAAATCGTGGATTAATCTCGCCAACCCCACGCATACCTCGCCCGTACCCCTGACCCCTATCACAGCTCGGAGGGTTCAGTCAGTACGTAGATATACAAGGTGAATCAGAAAAGTTGCGCGTGGTTTTTTTCCAAAGATAGATTATTTATAGATTTTTTTTATACAGATTCAAGCAAATTTAAGATTAAACGGTTTAAAATAGTAAGTAAACATTGTTTTATCTCAATTTTTAACATTAAAATTGACAATTAAAATGTAAAACTGAGATATTTTTATCGTTTTTCACAACAAATACTCTATTTTTCTTGTCGACAAGATTTTATTGGCACTAAGAAATCATTCTAGTGCCAAGCTTCTCGTAGAATATTAATCGGGTTTATGGGAGCATGTATTAGGAGATGATTGCCTTCGACTATTCTCATGCAAAATCACTTTCTACGCCCGGCGTTTAAATTGCAGACAACTCAAAAGGGACGTATTGATTTTATCCCGCATACGCGGATACACATCAGGTTGAATACACATCACGTTTTTCAAAAAAGTCCATCATAACTAAATCTATCTAATCCCCAATAAACTATAAAATGCGTGGACCAAATCTCCCCTAAATCGAACATATGTGCACGATACACATAAAAATCACGAAAATACATAAAACAATAATTATACAACAAAAATAAAAATATATAACCGAACTTCAAAATGTACATTTAATATGTTGTATTAAATATTACACATAACGCAGAAAAATATTTAGAAATATTTAAAAAAAAAGATTTAATAACAAAAAATTATAAAAAGAAATTTAATTTAACCGACAAAAGTCATGTTTTGTTTATTATCAATACTTGTCTGTTCGTCAGAAGAGAAATTAATTAAAATAGCTTTAATAATAAAATGATTTACCGTTCGATGCCAGTCAGTCTCGGATGTCTGTACTTTCTCGACAGAAGCAGTCCACCACCCCAAGCCGCCTGCAATAGAAATTAAAGATATGAAATAGATATGGAACACACATATATGATACTAGATATAGAACACATGATAAGTACATATAAAATATAACAAAACAATTTTTTATTTGACAGAGAGATAAATAAGAATTTAAGATTCTGTTGAGCTCTTTTTAAATCTGTGACTTATAAATCAGTGTTTTTTTCCGGTTTCTCCCCTGCAGTTTATCCGCGATTTGACAGAACTTCTGCCGCTTTTCTCGCATTTATTATTTACGTTAAAGCTCTTACGCGTTTGGCATTTACAGATTAAATTGTGTTTGGATGAACTTGATGGTATAAGCGCATTTGGTTCGAAACAAGTCTCACTGCTTAAAGAAACATCTTTTAAAGCTATTCGATTAGAACTAAAATCCTTTTATATTGCTTTATTTAATTGTTTATTTTAATATTTAAATAATTTAAATAAAATCTTTAACTTATATGTGTTATTCATAATTTATTGTTGATATTTTTGTTTTCTTTTTAAACAAAACACATAAAATATTTACGTACGAGATGATTACATTACGTTTCTAGATGAAGAGTCATTACTCACGTCGATGTGCAGCCAGAGTCTGTACTTTTGGCAAATATCAGCAATTTCCGGAATGGAGTCAAACGCACCAATAACAGTCGTTCCCGCAGTGGCGTTCACGAAGAAAGGTATGTGACCTTTAGCCTTGCGTTCTAGAATCAATTCTTCCAACTTCGACGGAATTATGCGACCGCGCTCGTCGCTAGGCACCATGACGCAGTTATCCGTTCCAAGACCACAAACGGAAGCGCACGATTTCACAGAATAATGGCACTGTGGACATAAATTATTCGTAATCTTTTCAGTTTTTTTTCATTTCTTATGTCTTCAAAATATGTTAATTTTTTAATCTCTTGAAATGTCTACGTATTTAATAGAAGATAGAAAGTATTGTCTATCACTTCTATAACTTTTATATATTTTTTTTGTAAAATACAAAGAACAAAATAATTTAATTTCAAACTTTTTTAAAAAATTGTTTTATTGCATAATATTTAACTGGCTAGAGTATATTACCTAACTTTAAAACTTACATTTTTATAAAATAAAACAGAAAAGAATGACTTTGTTAAATTTTTATATTTAAATATACCTGATCGGACGTAAACATAACCAACTGCCCTCCAATGGCGGAGAGTCCTTTCTCTTTGTACGACGGAAACATCCTATGCCTGGCCGCGAGAAAAGCGTAAAGATTGCTGATAGATCCTCCTGGAGCGAGGATGGAATCGCCGCAGTTCCAGCCTATGAGTTCGCGCATTTTTTGTAGAACGATATTTTCCATCAGAATAAATACGGGAGCGATCTCGTAGGTAAACATGTTTGTGTTGGCTGTCGCAGTTAACCATTCGCCAGCCATGGACACTAAATCGAGGCCGCATGACAGTTGATTAAAGAAATGCGGATGTCCTAGAATAGTACAACACAAGAAAATTTTTCAGAAATTGTCCGTTTCTAGTTTCGCGTAACTAACGATTTGTAAAAATTTCGCGAGAATGTTTCTCCTTAAAAATGCGAGATGCAAAAGCGACGAAAAATTAATTATTACCACACCGCCGATAAATCACACTGCCCGTCGCAAGTACAGTGATTGTTGACAAGTGACTCTTAATAGCAAAGTAATTAATAACACTGACGTGGCACGTGTCCTGAGTAGTATTATTACGCGACGTGGAAGTTCGGCGCGTAACTTTTAAAGGCACGCTAGAGAAAAGGCGGCGAGAGAGAGCTTTAAGCTCTTCCCGAGTACGTTGTCATTCGCTCGGGTGAGCATCACGCGAGGATCAGGCCTAATGCTTCTGTTTGATGGGAGCCCAGCCTTCTGATGCAACTAGGGGAGCGAGTACTTTATCTCCTCTCTCTCTTTCTCTCTCTCTCTCTCTCTCTCTCTCTCTCTCTCTCTCTCTCTTTCTCTCTTTCTTTTTCTCCCTCTCTTTTTTTTGGCATAAACACCTATAGCTATGTCAACTTCATAATCCGCTATTTGCGTTTATTTTAAATTAACGTGAAAACCCAGTGTCGAGAAAAGGTGTAAAATGGAAAGACAAATAACAACTCTATTTAAGAAGAACATTTTCTCATGTTTCCTCTTCCCTTATGTTTCATCCGGAAATAATCAATAAAGCAGACATCGTATAAAGGAAACTGCGCGACTGCTATCACCTTTTGGAATAACGTAGATCCCTTGATCCTTGCAGTATGATGGATTCACTTCATTGAATATCCGGTATCGAAAAGACTTTGACCCTTGTGTGTTCGGTACTCTTACGCTTTCCTGCACAACGCATCAACACTGGCATATCAAAGACGATATATCGAAAAGTAAAACAGATTTTTTTTTTAATTTAGTACTAAAAATGTCTAGTAACTAAACATTTTTTTATGTATCAACGCACTGTCTTGAACGCACGTCCAAGTCTTGGATATTTGACGGCAGACGTGTTTTAATCCTCTGGTTTTACGTAATGATTGACACATTGCACCGTTCTCCGTCAATGCGAACATCCTCCCCTTCGCCGACGGCTATCCTGATCCTGGGATTTAGCGCGTGGCAAAGTCGAACCGACGTTAAAGGTCTCTAGAAGGATAATCTTCGATATTTGTCGAAGAACTCACGAACACGGACCATGTGTTTCCACTAAAAGGATTCCATTAGTGAAAACCATTTGAATAAAGCAGCACAGATAATTTTTTAATAAAAATTTGTGTTATTATCGCGGTAAATATTACGTATTGTCTCTTTGTTCATCAGATACGCTTATATTATATCAACGCTTTTTGTCTAAAATGTTTTTAAATAAAAATTATTAAATTTTCTCTTATTTTAAAATTTTCTGTCAATTTCGCATTTTTTTATTTTACTTACAAGCGTTGTAGACATTTTTTTAAATTGTACATAGAAAAAGATTTCAAAACTAATGTAATGATATAAATGCATCTCTACAACAAATTGTCATTTAATTCAAGTAAGTATCTATCAAAGATTCAACGCGAAAATCATCTCAGGCGCGATATCAGACGGTGGGATTTGAGCCGTTTGTCGTACTGTTATTCGCAATTATCTCGGTCCGTGTATCGTGGCACGCGTCCGGTCGAGGGGTGAGAGAGAAGACGATTTCCTCTCTTTTTCTAGCCCGACAGAAACGACAGAATCGCGCCACATTCAAGGGTGGAGAAGGATTCGATGGTCCGAAGCGCCCGCATTTTGCGCGTCATACGCGTCGCTGCTCGACTAGATTGTTTGCAGAGGCTCTCAAACGCTGTACACGGCATTTCGTCTAGGAAAAACAAACACGTGCAACCAACTGGTTCGAGATAAGCCGTTTTCCATTATGCAGATCTGTATCACAATGTTAGAATCATACCAACACTGTAATATATCACCCAATGGAATTCTCTAATTTGAATTTATAATTATTTCATGTTACAAGCGCCGATACTTATTTTTCTTGCATCTGCGCTCTGTGCGTGATATCTAGATATTACATACGTAAATGAAACAAAGATAACAAAGATGCGAAATTGCAGTTTTCTTTAAATTTGTAAATGATTTTCGTCTATTTTTTATCGATAGAAGATTATAACCCACAAATGATGATATTATTGTGATAAGACCTAAACAACTTCTTTCTAGTTTATTTAGTTTGATTTTTCTTTTCTGTGAAATCGTTTTTTCTTAGTTTAACTTGATCCGAACAAGGATTGCGATTTTCTGCTACAATACGATAAATGATTTGTTTCAACTATCGGACAGTTCGTACGACGATTATGCTATCCAGAGAATCATTTTCCGACTAATTTGCTTCTGCCCCCGCATAGCCGAGAGAAAGAGAGAACGTAAGGAGAACCTGCTACGAACAGGCTGTGGTGATATATTACAGGGCTCGGGATTTGTATGGAGCGAAGTGTGTAACTCGGGCTTAACATTAATGCCGCACGATCAATCATATTGCTCATAAAGAAGGAAACATTGCGCCTGGCATTGCTGTTATATTATGCCATAAAAAATTTTATAAAATAATGTGTTACAATATGGTACGTTTACAAATTACCTTGTTCGGAATAGTCGAGAAACTTGCAATCTTTTTTTCACGACAGGAATGTTATGTGTTTCTAAAAAATGAATATATTCTTTACTTATTTGTTATTTTAAAATGTTACTTTTAAAAATATTATTTATTTAGAAAACATTAATTTTGTGTGTGTTGTCTTCGACTTTGTTACAAGATATACTGAAAACTTTGTTGCACTTGAAATCGAGAAAACGTTGAAAGGTAGAAACAAAAATGTATTTTTATAGTCGGACAAGCAAACAAATGTGTATTCTAGACACAATACATATTCTAGACTAGTTGGTATGCTTGAGCTTTTTCAATAGAAACTACCATTGTGCAAACATCCACGTGATACGGGATTTTTCGCGTTCCGTGACGAACCGATTTGCGCATTCCACGACGGAGGAACTATCGATATCAATTTAAATTCCTCCGGTGCTCCACCCCGATACTGCCGCCGCGTGTCGAAAAAGCTTCGCGAAATGTCGCTATTCCTATGGCACGAGCGTACCATCTCCTATAGCTAGGGTTTGCTCCCTATTTACTGTTTCCCCTCGACCTCTTACTGAAGAAAAATCGTGTAGAAATGGCTCTTAATTACACCAATCCTATTGAATTCGTTATTTGTGTGACGCAGTGCAATTACGCAGTATATAAGCGGTTTTTGTAAATCATATAATCACAGATTAATTATATTAAACAATAATTTGTATCAAATGTATGACACTTTGATGTATTGCTTATATTGTTTAAAATTAATTTATTTATAGATTCCTTTGTATTATAAATAGATATTTTTATTATAACTAGATGTTTTGTTTTAATTTGAAATATTAAACTTTTGTTATTTTGTTAAAAATAGCTGCTAGTTCTTGTTTTCCTTTACTACTTTCGCGGTATGTGCTAAAAAAAAACTTTCCTTCACTTATCGTTGCAACTGTGCTAACAATCTCTCTCAACATATCTCTGTTATGTTCACCCTTTTAAGAACGATTTCTATATTGATACATATCGATTAATTTTCCTTCAAGAACGGTTTCCAGTATTTGAGGATCTGTAGAGACTGCCCCCAAACCGATATTCCGAAGGGCTCTCGGAGTCTTGCGGTATATAATCTAATAACGAGTTTTTGTCAGCACGTATCGTGCACGCGCCCTCGTACCGAGGGGATGATCACACGGCCCTCGCTTCCTTTTACATGGACTGCAGTCTGAACGGATTCCTGGCCCAAGTTTGGTTAGGTCTTCTCCATTGTGCATTACCATCCATTCAGGCTGGTAATCGAATCCTATCGAGATAGCGAACTTTCGCACGCGCAAGGGAGATTTGCGGTTGACTCTTGGTATTTCGCGAGACCTCTATCACAACTCAGCTGCTATATCGCAACCAAGCTTAGACACAGATCGATGTTGCTGCTGCAATATTTTTGAGAACGGATATTATTTCGCCCGCTCAAGAAACATTTACTTTGTGTTCAACAGATATTATATACTAAACCGAAATATTTCGAATAGATTTGTTAGATTTACAAGATTTGCAAAATTAATATTTAAAAGCCACCAGCACAAAAATCTAATATCTAATTATTGTCCTAAATATTCAAAACACTTTTTACGTGAAATAAACTGTAATTATGTGCAAATATAGAAATAATAGAAAACCTTATCTAAACATGTTTTATCAAGCTTCTGGTGATACAAAACGTGACTCGACACGTGATACGAAGATATCTCTCAGTTTTTAGTTAACCCCCTGTACCTTCGTCTATTTATTACAAACACGACATCACAGTGTGTATATTTCGAGGGTTGGCCAATGGCTGTCTGGCTTCATTGCCGATGTCTGTCACCACCTTATCTTCGCCCCTGCGTATGCGAAATTGAATATGAAATTATGTGGCTTATCACCCTCGAGAATACGGACGTGCGATATAGGGAGGTGGTAAAATGCCCTTCCTGACAAGGGATGCCTGCATTTTTACAGTATTTTTTATCTGCACTCTCGAAAAATATCGCTATGCATCTTGCATTTTCATTTTTAAAATAATTTTGCTACAGGAACTTTTGCATTAAAAAAATGTTTAAAAGTAAAAGTAAAAAATTTTTTGTAACAAGCAAACAAAACGTTCTTTTTTATTCTTAAACAAACGATAGTAAAAATTATTTACAACTGAGTATAAGTGTATTCGTATATTTTGTGTATTATTCGTATTTCTTTTACGATTAAAAAAAGTACACAAAGTGCACTTCTTTCATAAAAAAATGTACCACAAATAATACATTAACGATTAATTAATGAAAGCAAATCAGCTATTAATTAACAAACAGAACTACATAAAAAAAAAGAAAAGTGTCACGAGTTTTATTCTTACCGGTTTTTACTTGGTACTTCAATGTCATTGAACAATCCAGCAGAAGTTGTTGAAGAGTTAGTCCAGTGTCAGGAATTTCCAAGTCGAGTATGCGCATCATGTCAGCGGGATGATGAAAATCAAGAACCTTAGCATTTCTGTCATTCGTTGATTTGATGAAATCTAACAGGATATCCATCACTTTCATCAAAAATTCTCTGGTCGCCGGATATCCTTCTGCATTCTGTGGCAGGATATCTGTAAACAAAATATAAATATTTCAAATCTGAACGTTTTGGACTTTATTTGATAAAAAACGCAGTGATGATGTACTATAATCGAACTATCTGGGCTGAATCATTGTCATAATTAATAACAAACGTAAATAATAATGAATTAACAATTGTTAAATAACGCGCACTATAATGACATATCTGTGATAACTTTCTAATTGTTGGAATCAAGTGAAATCTCTTCTGTACAACAGTAGTATCGATTGATACCGTATTGACAAAGAACTCCTTTTGCGGCCGTCGCTTCCATGTTCGACCTACCATCGCAACTTTGACATCATCCTCTCGGCGCGACTAGAATGATTTCACCTCATCAAACAATTGAAAGTATAGACCTATATTGACACACTCTCATTTGTTTGGTGGGATGACACCATCTTATTCATGTTCCTCCTCTTCCTTCCGTTCAGCCATCCTTTGTGATGTAACATTGTGTTTCAGTGTGGTAGTAAACATCGATGTTATAATATAAAATACAACGCAAATTATTTTGTAATCATGCATCATGCGATTTTTACAAACATAATAGTCTTGAACTTTAAGTTTATTTAAATTGCAAGAGAAAGAGGGAGAAAGAGAAAATACAAAAACTTCTTATAAACAAATATTAAACAACGACAATAGCTTTGATTGTAGATTATTAACTCATACAGACGCGGGGAAATGAAGACACAACAAAGTCATTGCAACGAAACAGTTTCAATGTGCTTGTGGTAAATCCTCGGTAAATTGAACTGTCTTTCTACCTCGAAGTAACCATAAAATATCCCACAGAGTGCAAACCATCCCCCTCGTTTCTCATTGCATTAAAGTGATCCCATGGATAAACAGTTGAGCTACTATGGGACTTTGCTTTCAAATTATTATTTAGCATTTTAAAACAGCGGGTGTTAAGAGAGATGTGTTGAAGAAGTATAAAATCGCTTTCTTCACTAAACTTGCGCGTTAACAAACGTATAATCATTCTTTATTGCTATATAGTAAAACTCAGCTGATTTGAGGGATTGTCAATTAAAAATTTGAAATTTTTGTAATTTTTTCTTTAGTTCACTTGTTTTTTATAAAGCTAAAGTATAACAACTTTATCACACTTTTCACAATGTATTTGCATATAATAAAAATTAATCCGTTGTTTGAGCGAAAAAATATTATTGAAACAGGTAAAGCGAAAATCAATCAAAAGAATCTCTTTTTCTTGTTCTTCCGGTTTAATCGATAAGAGTATCTTTTTCAATAATCATAAAAGACGAATATAGAATGAAGGGCGTACGAAAACTTATGGTGAATCACCTTGAGCCTATGGTTAGACAAGAGAAATCCCCGGCTTCCAGCGGTCGGATCTAGCTAATCCAGCTCCATCAATCTAACGTTCAAAGACCTTTGTCTTTTTTTCGAGGTTTATAGCACTCTCAAAATACAAATAGTGACGCAATTGCCTATGATTTTATTACGTTAAAATGAATATGTTATTATTTGCACGATACTTTGTCTCATCTCAGTTACAACAATACACAAACAAGTAACAGTCTGTATAAAAAATGTTTTTCTTTAAACGCATAAGCAAATAAAATAACATCAAGTTGTAGATTAGTAATTATTTTATTACGTAATCTTAAAGATTCTCAACTTATTGGTATCCTATAGATTTTCCCAAGCGTATCACTAAGCTCGGACTCCATATATCTACCGCGTGTATAGTCATTTGGCACCAGATGTAGCTAGACCCTCGCATTTCGACTTTAATCAAAGTGCCTTCTGGGGATTGTTACACGTGGCAATTAGTCACGCCGATTTATAAGTCGGATTATGATCTAAATTTATAGCAACAGTGCATTTCGCGTTTACAATGCGTATTCGAATACTCGAAATGTTACGTAAATGTTCGATTGACAATCGCAGATTGTTTCACGTAAGAAAAGATATCGCGTGCATTACGAAGAGCAAGAATTCCTTGAAGTAAGTCAAAATTTTTGCGCGCGTGTCGTTATCGCCCGCTGACACTTCTCAAATGTCAAACACGACAAACCCTTCCGCATCCCTGCGGCGTGTAATCTGTCCTCAGCCACTCTCGAGGTCTGCCTCTTCGGAATAATTCTAAATGCTCTATTATTATGCACCCTTCCGACCCAAAAGCCTCGCGAAATCGGGACAATATTGTGACTTCTGGATCCTGCTGCTCTCTCTCGAAAAGCCAAGCCTAGGCTTTTGGTAAAAATGTACCGATTATCATTGTGATAATTTGTTTCTTGATTTTTATACGTCAAGTTAAACGTCGAATGATTATGCTGACAGTATCATCACGTGTATAAGAAAGTACAGAGAAAAATTTATATAAAATTTACATAAAAATAAAAAGATATTTATACGAAATTCGTGCATATATTTTTGAAGTACGTTTGCAAAATATTAAGTTGTGCGTCAAGTGCATGCAGAATATTTTGATTAACTTAACTGACTAAATACACTCTCAGTGTAATTAATTAATTATAACTTACCCGAGTACTTCAAGTTGCAATGCTCCTTGGAGAGCGCGTAGGTGTTTTCGGAACTCATTAGTCTGGTAGGTGAGTGCGTTCGTGCGAAATTCTGAAATCCAATTCAAGAAGAATCTTTTTCCTTAAATTGCACTCTGCATTTAACGCACCGTTTACATTAGTAAATTTGATCGATTGTTAATAAGAGCAAAATAAACCTATAAGATAATTTTGTCGCAAAAACTCTTAATAAGAGCAAACTAAATCTCACCATTTGTAATAAAGTAATCGAGGCTTAAAGCTAGAAAGAAAGGAGGCTTAAAGCTTGAAAGAAAGGAGCGACATTGTCAGGGAAAACGAAGAGAGAGCATGTAAACGCCAAGATGTAGACCGTTTTATTGAGAACTAAAGCTGTTATATTTGTCATCTTTACAAGATTCGACTGTTTTCCGTTCTGCCTTGCAAGATTTTGTAATATTTTTTTACAAAACTTTTTATCAACGAAACTAAATTGAATTCTTCCTCACGTAAATGTATAATATACCACATAAATTATTATAATAAATATTGAGTAGCAGTTGCCATATATACATATATATAAGAAACTAAAATTGAATTATGTTTTAAACTAAATAGTATTACAAGGAAACTACTAATGATTTTGTCGACAATGTTTTCAATGTCAAAAAACTTCTGCTGTTATATCGAAGTTGATAAACGTGTGTCGCTTAAATACAATTTAAACAAAATTTACGTATTTTGTGAAAACGGAACTTCTGCCAGCTTCGAATAAAATTATTTTTTTTTTAAGACGACGAATTCATTGCTTGCCTGGCCGACTGCAAATTAACAAGTTATAAAAGTGATATTTTGTATGCTGACGGAATGTAACTATTCACTATAAAAACATTGTCGACATCGAGTTGTCACTAAATGAGTGAGACGTAATGAGCACGCGATGTATGACGTGCGATGTGGATGCCTTACATATAAGTATTCCTTGATTGCTGTGATTTTAGTGCCGATCATTTGCACATTGTCCATGTCTCTGCTTGTGTCCCTCGCCTCAACAGTCCCTACAACAGTCAATAACAAGGTTCCGCTTCAGTCACGACGTACTGCGACGCCGAGTCTTCGGCGAGTTTCAGCGAGATTGCGAAATTATTAAACGAGAATGTCATCGCTGTGGCAGCGCGACAGGCTGGGCGACTGAAGAAACATGGACAGAGAGCACAGTTTTTTTTTGTCGTCTTTTATCATATTTTTTATTTATTTTATTCTATTCGTAGAACACAAAGCTTTCGTACTCCAACGTTGCAAAATAAGTTCCAGGTTAAACAATGCACACACAATTATGTCCCATTTTAAATATATGTATGATTTAGGAAAATTACAAGTTACTTGGTAACGTTGTCACATTAACGAGTTACTTGTCAGAAAACAAAACGGTAACGCGCGCGGTAACGCATACTTTTATCAAGTAATTTTCCCATCTTCCTGTTTTTAAATTATATTTGTTTATTGTGAGTCTATAAATCAGCAATGCTTATAATAAGCGAACGTAAACTATCGATCACACTTTGTGTTCTATATTTGTTCAAAAGATGGTCTTCAAACTTTATCAGGCATTTCGGATTGCTTTGCTCTCTGAACTCACAGAGCGTAAGAAAAAGACTGAATACAAGTAAATCATCTAGACATCCATCAGTTCTTCTCACATTGCTTTAAAACATGCAATAGAAAAAGATATGAAAGAGAGATTAAAATGTTCATGAAACATGCACAATTGATGAATGTATTCAAGGAAGAAATGTACCACGTTGATAGTTTAGACGTGCTTGTAGTTCTAAAACATTTTTTTCTTTTTACTATGAAAATGTAAAAAACTACTTTCGGTCTACTATTATTTATCAAATGAACACGTTGAACGCTCGGTAGAAATCATTTTAGGTTTGTGCGATATATATAAAAAGAATTATTGCTGTCAAATAACCCGCGCGAATTCTTGGCAAAGTATTTATTTTACTTAGATGAGTAAAACCGCGTCACATACATAAATAGATAAAAACTTACCCAGATATGAGCAATATGGCGTTTAACGTGTTAAGTCAAATGTGTATTTAAAAGAAGAAATTTTTTTATTTTATGTATATCATAAGAAAAATAACTAGAAGATAACTAGAAGATAAGACGTTAAAAAATACACGCCGTGTCCAACTAAATTACATTTTTATTAATACATTACATCAAATTACATTTGGGAAAGATAAACAGACTGTAGATATTATACGTTATTTTTTTAATAAAAAAGTAAAACTTATGAGAGAGATTACATTGTGAGACTTCTTAGATTTGTGTCATTATTCGTTTTTATAAAAATAGTATTATAGAACAATATGCAATTTTACATATAAACGTTATAATTTCACTTGTGTAATTTCACAATTTGTATTTGTTAGAAACCTCTTTCATTTAACAAATATTTCTTAGTATATACTACATTATTCTACATATTTTAATTCTGCTACACATACTTACATATACACACATTTGATTTGGTTTAGTATAGTTTTTTAACTTCTACTTATATTACATTTTTTCTACTATCAAAAGACATAAAACTGTCAAGTTTTTTATAAAGCATTTATTAAATTTATGATGAGCTTTTAGGTTCTGCAAAAATTGAAGAAGAATAATCTAACTACACTAACATTGTTTTATGTTACTTACCTAATTATGTCTTTTTTCACCGATTTTCCTCACGATCACGTTGCTCGACGTGCTATCGCGAATAGGGGTTGGTTTCGTTTCCGAGCGAACACAGGCTTCAAGGGTAGAATATCAACGGAGTGATGAAGCGACGATAGGCTTCAGGGTGGTTTCCAAGGGACTGCTTCGTGCCGAAAACGACTGGACGACTCTCGAGCTTCGGCCTGTCTCGGTCTGCCTCGAGTCTAGCTGACCTAGTTTCATCTTGCACAACCTACGCAGCCACCCCAACCAGGGGTGCTTTTACGTAGGCGTGGCCATCCGGTCGCGACTGGGTGGGAATCGAAGGGCGAAATGCAGTGGTGGATAACAGGGCGTGTCGCTGCGCCGCCAATCCAAGAATGAACGTCATTCTTGACGTCAGAGAGAAAAAGAGAGTTGAAGAGGAAGCAAGTATGCCAATTTTTCTTCTTGTCTGTTTTTTTTTTTTTGTTTTCGAGTTTCTTTTTGTTTCCTCTGCTCCCGTGGTTTTCACGATGGAACGAATCTGCTACTAACACTTTTGTGTGTTTATATTCAATTCACTACTTGAGACGAGAGATGAGAAAAGTCTCATAGAAGTCGAGATATGAGAATCTTAAGCTCACAGCTTCGGTGATGTGCAGAAATACGGAGGTAAATTGAAGTTTTGGAACAACTGGAAAAAATAATACTGTCGCCTACAAATTTCTAGATTTATTTCAACATACATGCATATGTATTTTTTAATACCTTGTATTTGTCAGGATATTTTGTAGTATAATAAAAAACTAGTACATAGAAAACAGATGTATATATAAAATTACCAAATGTGTGTCAAATATTAAATATTAATCTTTTTATACGTATTCTATCTTATATATTGTAGAAAATAATAATGTAATGACTAGTGTAATATTTTCTAAATGTATTAAGACATGTAGTGTGTTATTTTTTTAAGGTATCGAGATATTAAATGAGTTATTTATAAGAATGTTCATCAAATTTGAAATATAATCTGTGTATCATCGACAAGTCTCACGATACGCTCTAGTAAAATATACTCTTGGTTCACGTTGCTAAAATATATCTAGAACAGAAGGGAAATGTTCATTAGGTTGCGCGCAACGGTTCACCGTAGACAAATCTAATTGCTGATGGTCCAATTTCTGGAAAATGTCGCGACGCCTGCGTCTTCCACTGGACTAGTGGGGTAAATCGGGGGCGAAGAACGCGAACAGGTAGGTAAACAGAGACAACTGTCATTAGAAAAGGAAGAAACGATTATGGTTTCATCGACAGAGGGGATGGAAAGGACAAAATGGACGTCAGCCAATAGGGCGCCGGGACAAAATGGCCGTCAGTGAATTTAATCAATACCGTCCTCCGTCCTTCGTGTAGGTGGAGGACAGGGCGAGACCCAGAAAGGGCCAGGAACGTAACTAGTGTATCGTGCGCGTGCACGTATTTGTCTCGTAAAGTCGACATATCTTAACTTATGTAAATTCTCTCTAAGGAAGCACATGTACTTCTTGTATTGAGAACTTAATGTTCTTCAATTGTTATTCCTCCTGTACCAATGCTTTGCAAAACAAGAAAACTAAGCTCGGAGATTTATAATAAAAAATACGGAGCTGCATGCAATATTATTAACAAAAATATATTATCTAAATGTGATATCGCATTGATGTATACATGTGAAAATATATTATATATATATATATATATTTACGTATTTATTCTAAAAATATTTAATAAATAATAACCCTTGAAATGACAAAATTTGTCTTTAAGTTCTTACAAATTTATTCTAAAGTTGTCGTATTATTATATATTTTGACATATATAAAGAGAAAGAGAGATAGAGAGAGAGAGAATATTATTATTGCGTGAGATTATAATTTAAAAGAATATTTATAAGTTATATTTTATCCTATGGTTATCAGAGACAAGAGTAGGCCGACTAAAACAACAATCGGTTAGCATCAATCCCGCTTCTTTAACCTTTCATTGTTTGGAAAGTAACACAGATATCTCGTCTTTATAAAGGCGCTACCAAACTTCTTGTTTTTATCTTTTGAGAAATTTTGAATTAAAGTGATTATATGATTTAAATAGACAGTTCTCTAAATGCATTATACAATTTCAATAAACAATACAAATACTTGTCTTGCAGTGACTATGTTTTATTAATAATCAAAAACAAATATATTATACATGTAGCTCATGTAAAAACTATCACAAATAAGCAGCAATTTTTAATTTGCATTTAGCGTCTTATATGACTTTCTTTTTATTCTTTTTATTAATACTATTTTATATTTGTAGTTTTTAATTTCAATTAATGTGTGTTTTTATAATTATTTATCTAGCTGAAGAGAATTCAAGTCGGATCGAATGTTCTCTAATTGATAAAACAGATTTTATGTGTATACTTACTTGAAACATAATGTTATTAACATTCTCATTTGTTGTAAAATGAGAAGTCTCTTTATTTCTAATTTATTTTTATACCAGTTAATATATTTTTTTATATATACTACTAATTTTTATAATTTAATACTATATATATTTTATTTTTTGTAAGTAAAATATGATATTTTTTGCAATTATCTAATTGCTGATAATTATTAAAGATCAAAAGACGTAGTAGTCTTTCATACTGTATTGGTAATTTATACATATATATATATATTCATATAAACACAAGACAAACGGACTCGTGCCGAAAATCAAATTTAAGTCTTTAGTATGTTTGACTTTTGTAAACTTATAACGTCTACAATGTCTTATTTGATGTGTACATTTTGAAATGTAGTTTTTTGCGATTTTGTTGGTTTCAATATTTTAAAGGATTTCGATATGATATTATTTTTTGATTAATTTTTTTACACCGTGAAAGAAGAACCCGTGATATCGGAACATTTTGTGTTTTTATATTATTTTAATATCTTATATAAATTAATATAAATGTTAATATATTTTATATAAATTATTTTATATAAATATTTGTGTTCGCTGTGTTTCTCTTTCTTCTCATATTTCTGTATGAATTTGCATTACAAAATTGAACAAATTCTATCTCCATTTTCTTAATACGAAGAGAAGAAATATATATTTATCAACCTGTACTTCTCTATTTCTTACTTTTGGCGTCAATATTTTCTCTCGTCAGAGAATTCGTTTCGTCGAACCATAATAACATTTGACCATGAAAGTTCAACTTGGTAATAAGCGGACGTAGGGCCGTACGAAAAGTGGCTCTAATCTAGACGTCGCACACACGGAAATTCAAAACTTCACATTCTTAAAATAAATTAATCTCTACATAAATATTTATACTTTATTATAAAAGTAAACTATTACATATTATTAAAACTACCTTATTTTTATTATTTTTGTTTTTTAAAGCGATCATTGCTTGCACAAATCGGTAAGTAGTGAAGTACAGTTTTAAAATTGTTGCTGTTCAAAGCTATAATTTTGAAACACTTGTTTAATCTCTTTTAAATATTGCTATTTTAGTAAAAACAAGCAAATGAAATGGATGTATGTGTAAAGATTTTATTTTATCGGTATAAACACATATAGAAGAAAACTTTCTATATTCTATATTCTATAATATGTAAGTATCAAGTTGTTTAGTTAGTAATATTAATATTAACGTCCATTTGTGAACTTTTAATTATACTTATGTTTAAAATAAATTTTTTTTTCTAGTTTTACTTAGTGAAAAAAGTACAAACTCACGGACTTACATTTTTGCACTGGGCTCCGCAGAAGCCATAGACGATTCTGTAACAATAAAGGTATAAAAGCCACGGATGTACGTATTGAAAGAGACAGTGTGTATTTGATATGCGAGGTGATAAATTCGTTTCGAAGAGTATTAGTTTGAGCAAGAGAGTTCTTAGCACGAGTTAAATAATATTTGTGTTGAAGAATTATTGGAAAATTTACTAAATATTTTTGTGAAACTTGATCGCAACCAACCAACGGATTTTTACAAGAGAAAAATTATTTTTGAACTTTTCACGTAATTATTTTTATTCTCAAGGTAAGTACAATTTGTGTTATCGCGATTTATTTTAAGAAATTTTATTCTATGGCATATGGGAAAGAGAAAAACAATAGTGTTTATTATTGAAAACCAATTTTTATTTTTTTAATATAATTTAATGCTGAAATTGTACACATTAATAACATGTTAATTTAATATGTATGATAAACGTCTACTGATAAACGTTTTTTTTTTTTTTTTTTAATTACATCATATGGAATCTCGCAACAAGATTCTGCTATATATAATAACCGTCTTTAGTGCAATCATTTATCGTACACAACCGAATACTAAATTCCGTTCCGATTCTCTGAAATACATTCGCGAAAGCGCGGTCAGACTCCAGGAATTCCTCTTGATTGCATACGCTAACCTCTCTCGATATGCTGGTATCGAGATGCGAGGAAGGGAGAGAGTAAACGCGGATTTCCTCTCCTACATCCCCTTCAGAATATTGATTAACCATCATTTTCAGATGACTCCTTCGTCCCGTTGGATGTTTCTGGGGATGTTGGCGTTGGCGAACATCGCATTGAGTGTCCCGCCTCCTCTCGTAACCGACGCATGCTCCCTGATCTGCAACCCCGGAGCGGAGACCGAAGAGGATCGTTTGCGGGATCCCAAAGTGTTCCCTAGAATTCCCAAGGCGAGTTGTGCGGTCCAGTCCGGTGACGACAACGATCAAGCGCGGATCATTATGAGGCACTGTTTGAAATTGTGCTCTTTCGATCTGACAGTTGACTCCGTGGCTAACTGTGCTGCTATGTTGTCGACCTTCGCCGCAGAATTAGGATGTTACTGTGAAGCTTTGTCACCTTTGAGTCCGAATACTCATCGCCTGGGTGAACAATGGAGACTCGATGCTTTGGTGGAATATTTATCGCAAGATCTCTTTACCATGATCCTCAATTCAGAACTCGATACTCTTATTTTATGCGATATCTTTAATGAGCAGTTTATGAATCGAAAACAAGATCTACAACCAGGACGTATAATTGAGTCATGTAAGGCAATTGAAAACCAAACACGTCAACTCCATTCAAGCAGACAGAAACGAGATACCTCACGCCAGGAAACTCTGAAGGAAGATATGCAGAAAGATGATCCAAAAAAAGAAGATGAACAACCGGCATTTGATTTCTTAGTAGATGATGAGGATAATTTTGAGGAAAGTATAGATGATTTAGAAAAAAGTAGTAAAGACGTTGCTTCGAATACGGAAACCTTATATACAAGTCAAAACCCAGATAAGAAACTTAATCCTGGAGACGAAGTGTACGATTATGTGAAAAATAAGAAGTTAGACCAGTCAGTATTGAAAAAATGTTCAGTAGTAGATGTAGCGGACAGCTCTACTCCTGAAGAAACTACCTTAAAAGAAGCCGTAAAAATGGAGATCTCTAGGCAGAAATCGGAACAAAAAGAAGATTCTCCATTCAAGAAGAATTCCAACAGACACTAACCCACATAACACGTAAATTTGCTTATTTTACATAGATCCATAGTAATTTATTAGATAAACAAATATGGCTGTAATTAAAAGAATTTAAGCAAATTATGCGATCTAAAATATGCTTAATTCTCATTTAATTATATATTTGATTTTTCTTTTGGCAAAATTCAAGTATTGTCGTTAAATTAAAAAATAATTTTTATAGTTTGATTATATAGTACAGTAATTCTTATAAGCAATACGAAGTATTGAATAAATTGTTATATTTACCGGTTATAATATTTTTTTAATGCGTAATATTCAAAGTTGCATAATATCATTGTTAAGTCGATAAATCGCTTAGAGATGCATGCTAAAGGTAAATTATTTTGTTTTTATTATAAAAAACCTTGTTGTTTTTATGTGTAATTTTGTTACATTACATATATCTTTTTGTTATTTGCGTTATTACACTTAAGTTAGGTAACACTACAATATGAAATATCTGTTTAGAAGTATAATATTAAAGCAAGATGTTACAAAAAGCGTTAAACAATATTTTAACAACAATACATCGTATTTTAGTGTGTTACAAATATATAACAAATAATTATACTATAAATAATATAAAATAGTTTATAATGTCCAAGTAACCGATTTAGACTTAATAATTCTACACAAAAATCCGTTCACACGGTACATATTACATTTTGCATGGTGAAAAAAAAGATATTATTTTATATTATTATATTAATTTGTGAAACTAATTTTAATATAAACTTATAAAATTATAAAATTATTATATTAGAAACTTCTCAAATTAAAATGTATTTTAAAGAGTTTTGAGAGAGAGAGAGAGAATATGTTTATTTCTAATTAATACTATTATATCATGTAACAATGTAATCATGATGACATTACAATTAAATACACTATATGTTCTACACTTGTTTTTCACATATACATGTTTTCAGTATATCAATATTAAACAAAATTATAAAAAAACTATATATACAAATATAAATGACATTATATTTATTAGAATGATACGGGTTTACTGTTATATTAACCAATATAAATAAAATCTTGTTTAAATATTGAGTATACAGATATGTATATGAGTTTTTATATTTTTATATTCAAGAAAAGTTTCAAATAATGTAAGAAGTTTATATAATATTAAAAAACTTTTTTATTGAAATTCATTAATTATAATTATTAAATGCAATAAAAAATTCCGACTAAGATTAGTGACGTGTGAACAGGATGTGTAATATGTGTATCATGCAATAATTTCTATTTCTATACACGCACGATATGCAATGTGCATTCTTGCGTTACAATTAACAAAATTTAGAGCAATTTTATGTGATGATAAAGTATTTTAAAGTATATTATAAGAGCAAGTAAAAATGCAACAATACAAAATCCATGTCTTCCAGTATTAATCAAGTACTGTAGTTTTGGCGGTAGTAACTTGCTTCAATACCTTAACATATAAGTAATAATATATAAGTAAAGCGATATCATTAGGTATCATTAAGATATATCTGCATTAACTATAGTTACTCATTGTTTAATAAAATAAGTTTCATCTCGCGATATCTTGTAATAAAAAGAACTATTATCGATTACTGATTAATTACTCATACAGATATAACGTCCATTAGACGTCTATGTGGACGTCTAATAACACACTATGTAATATTTAATGAACATCTAATGGAAATTTGTATAGAATATTGAAGAGTGTTTGTATAGAGTGCTGACTATCTCTAATTGAAATATTATAGCATTAAAAAATCGATCAAATAATTATAACCTGCGTGTTTTGTCTGTTATATCATGTCGATTTAAAAGAAAAAGTTGTGACGCGACAATAAGATGTAGATTCTAGTATGCCTATGTACGATGCATTTTCGTAGCGTGCTCTCGATTATCGATTGACACATATTTCTATAAACTTTAATGTAATAAACATACTCTGTTCTCATGTTTAGTAAATAAGAGCCGCAATTGCAGACAAAGTTACACTAATTGTAAACATTTAAGAAGACTGTTATATAGTTATGATCATATTAAATCGTTGTATAGTAAACACGTTCAATCAACTGATTATTGAGAGCGCGTAAGAAAACTTGGCTACAATATTTTAAATTTTATTTCATAATATCTCGTACATTGTATTTATACGTAATAATATTAATATACTTACTGTATCTATAATTTATATATATATTTAGAAATATAAAAATATTGATTGATTGATTAGAAATATAAACTTACATTGTAATTATTACTAATATATATACATATATATATATATATATACACATACACACATACATATATGTATATAAAGTAAAATACATGTAATGTGATTTTGTGAGAAATATAGAATATCAAGTTTGTCATTTATACATTTACTAAATATATATAATAATAATAATTGTGTTTTATAACTAGTATGCGATATAATTATATAGACATGTAATCTACTATCTTACAAAACTCAAATTAGGCAACAATGTTCAAACAAATTTTCTGATAAATATACATATATGCTCTTTTTCTCTTCATAAATTGTCTTTATACTCTTATAGTTCTACTTAAACTTATATATGTATAGAATGCAAGATTTAATGTATGCTTTTATGCTTTAATATATTATAAAATAATAAAAAATCGTATTTAATAATAAAAAAAAACTATGTTGCAATTTTAAAAATATAGAACTGCTCAACATATGTATAAATAGACGTTAGTTTTTATTATAAAAAACAAAATTTGTGTAATTAATTCTAATATGATTTTACATATATATGTATTGAATACATACTATATATATATATATATCATTTTACAAGTTATATTTGTAAAATAATTTTTTTTAAGTTAAAAGTATTACACATCTAAATATATATCATACAAACTTATATTACCCATACTTCTATTACTCATATTTACCGATAGTTATAACAATGTTTTATCGACTGATAGTACAAGTATTTACAGAAAAAACTAATATAGCAATAGTTGATAACTATTATTTTAATATATCTTTTGTTGGTATGAGTTTCAGTAGTATTATAAATATATTACAAATAATTATATACAAAATTTAAAATAAAAAAAACAATACGGTTCTTCTCAGTACATGACGATGTCTCAATAACAACTTTTATCTTTGACATTTACTCTTACATCGTCAGTTATTGTCGAGTTGGACTGTCCTTTCATTTTAAGATTAATCTATTGAAGATGACTCGGTAATAAAATCGAAACATTTGAATAAGAAACTTCATAAGTAATTTCTTCGCATAACAACACGCTTTTTGTTCGAATTGTTCACTTTATACATCAGTTTAAAAAAACAATTGTAATTATCTGACTGCAATTTATTTTTAATCAATTATTATAAAAAGTTTGTTAAAAGTTTTTTTAAAAGTATTATCTTTATATATATATAAGTAACAAATATCTTAAAAATATAAAAAAAATATTTTAATAATATAAAATATTAAGCAATTTACAGTTATTTTACATACATATATAATATTACATACTAACATGTTACATATTAACATATATAGAGAATTGAAACTTAATATATAATTTGAAAAACCTACATTAAGAAAAAGGTTTTTAAGAATATATTCGTTTTTGTAACATGTATATTTATTGTAATATTATATATTACATATTTTTGTATATTTTTAAAAAATATTTGCTTTTATATTATATATAATAACTCTATTATTTTATTTCTTTATAATAAATTAACGACGAAACTCGAACTTATTAATAATATGTAAATATACGATATATTTACTACATGACGTAAATATTTTAGTTAAAATAATTAAAACAATACTCGAAAATAATTACACACAAATTGATTTTGCATTATAATTACTTTATTTTCAGTTCACAATACACGTGTTCCCCATGCGACAGAAACAATCTTTATTTCCCTGGAGTAAAAATCCACTCAGAAAGGTCCTTAATTACATTACGTTCTGTGATAGCTTATTGCTCTTTTTATATCATACAGTGCATCTTCTATAGCACAAGGATCCTCTTATAAAAGGTGGTCCAACTGCCGATGAAGCATCAGTCGAGTGTCATCTCCAAGATACAATTCATCTCCAGCATTTCTATTGAGGTGAAAACATTATATATCGCAACGTGTCATTATTATAATAACATTATTTTTCAATTTATATACATATATCTCTTACATTGTATTCACATATGTTATGCATTTTGATAAAAAAAATTTGAAACTCTAGTTAAAAAATCTTTAAGATCTTTAAACTCTCGAAAATTTATTTTTTTGTGCACCGCAGAATCTATTTTCAATTCTAATATCTAGTACTTTACTTACGCACAATACGATTTTTTATGACATTTCTGTACACATACAAAAGCTGGTTATCAGATATTATGAATTTTAGTAGTTCGCAACGCGAAAATCAATATCTCGTTTAGACGGATCTCGTAACTTTATTTGCAAATAATGTAGGTCGACTGCGTTTGACAGAGATATTTGTCTTCGAGTTATTCTCTACAGTATAAAAGCTCGCGGCTTTTCCTTTCTTTGCAACATTCGGTAACCGACTATCACGAAACAAACAAGGTTTCCAAGTACAAACAAGCTTTCTCCTTTGGCAGAAATTAATCGTTACTTATCGTAAGTCTTTAAAAACTTTATTAATGCAATAAATTGTCATATATTCTTGTACTTATTGCAATGAATAAATACAAGAACACATAATAACTTATATGTTTTTGCATTGCAGTAAACACACAGAGTGACAATACAAGAATTTTGTAAAATATGAATAATAATTTATAATTTTGTAAAATATAAATTGTCTACACATTTTCTATTTTGTGTTTTAGTCAATAGAGCAATCCACATCGTCGACATGATTTCCATTCGTCTTACTCTCGTTCTTGCTGTTATCATGGTAGTTCTCGCTCTCAGCGTAGATGCCCACAAGACCAATCCACCTTTCAACGGTAGTATATTTGGTAAACGATCCAACACTATAACTGGTAAGTTTAAATTCTGCGTTTTACTTTCTGGAATTAAAAAAATTTTTGTTGTGCAGTAGAGAAATTACTTTTAAAAAATCCACTTTATGTACACATATAATACAGCTAACTTTATCTGTCGAATATCATCTCCAAACTCTAAAATATCTATACATATGAAATATATATAAAATCTTAAAAATATATATAAAATTTAATTTTATAATATATATATATATATATATATATATAATATATAAATTGTTTATTACAATATTTTCAGACTACGCACTTACCAACCGCGCTCTGTCAGCAATTTGCGAGGTTGCTAGCGAAACGTGCTCTGCTTGGATGTCACGCCAAGAATCCAACTTATCTGAAGATAAATAACCGACTGAGTGATCTATGGATTACTAACTAATTAATCGACCCATAAAATGTAATCAACATAGCTTCTGTAAAGATATCTGTATCATCCGCTTAGAAGTTTGTCACATTGTATCTTTTGTCTTTTCTCGTGTGCATTATGTTATATCTCTGATCGTACTTTTGTATTTAAAAGCTTCTACAATTTAGTTATGTTCAGTAGAAGTGTTGAACAAATAAAATATTATAATTTCAAAAGTTAATTAAGGTTTTATTCTATACTTATACCTTCCTTTGTTTTCCAATGTTTCCTTCATTGTCATTTAAGAATGTATCATATGCAATATTGTGTTTTGAATTTTTTAGTTAAAATATATAATAAAAATATAAAATTGCACTTGTAAAAATTTATGGTAATAAAATATTTACTTATCACAATAAAACTCAAATATCTAAACAAATACATCATTTCACAGAGAAAGAAAAGAAAATAGGCTTCTTATTTAAACAATTTATAACGTATGAGTTCTTCTGAAATCTTTTTATATAGATTAAAAGTGATTCAATATGGAAAGCACGTTCTATTCACCTGCCTGGATAAGGGCCATGTTCTGTTGTCTTTGACCGCAAACACGTGAATTTAAATCCATTGTAAAACTATTGACACATATGTGTAATTTAAAAGTAATTTCCATTAATTAATATGTTAAATAAGTATATTCTATATATGTATATATACGTACAGTTTTTTAAATATTTAAAATACAATATTATATACGCAATATATATGTATATTTAACACTATTAACTATCGTTTTAGCAATAATATTCAACAGAGAATAAGATATATAATATGTGTCATTTATATCAGAAACATAACAGTCATTTATCAGAAACATAACAAGAATTACGTATTCACCGAATCACGAATTTATGCCAGACATTGAGGACGATAAATTTTCCGCTGACAAAACCTGACCGAGAAATTTATTTTCCATCCGATAGGGGAGTACAAGCGTGTAGGCGTTACTTTACATGGTGCACATGAACTACATATTTAATCAATCTTTAATCCGATATACATCGAACATTAGGATATATATAAGTATGCGGAACCTGATCGAATTATTCTCAGTTCTACGTTCTACTTATTGCATGAGGTAAGATATTACTTAAATGTTTTTACTAACTAAAGTCTTATTTTATTATACAAAAAGATCTGAAAAACTTCTCAGTGTTAAAATCTCTGACACCGAGTGAGAATAATCGATGTCCTTCTTACGATTTTGAAGGAAAGAAAATATCACATATGTGAATATATGAATATACGATTTTGAATGATATTTTAGAGAAACTGAATGACTGTGCAGTTATATAAAAAGAGTATATAGGTTTTACATACAACTTTTCGAAACCGAAGGCGTTATCGATCGCACGTTAGTTATTTCGGAAACGTTAGTTATTTTCTTATTTACTCTTATTCGTGCAATAGCAGACAAATATATCCCAATACGTCAAACATTTCTCTCAACGTCCCACGGTGTGTCCTTTCTATAAGACGCGTCTCACTCGCTCGCTCGCGGACTGAATATTCGCGCGCGTGTTCGCGAGGACAAACAGTCGGCACGATTCAAATACGATGGGGTTTCTCGACGTGCAAACTCTTTCCTTCGATTCTCCTTCTCGCCCACAATCCTCAAGTACTCTGGTCCACTTTTCGCAGTAATGGAAGAAATCGCGTACTGCGAAAAATCGCGCTCAGTGTTCACCGAACACCTGTGAGATACACGTCTTTCCTGTAGGAATCGATTCTATGATTGTCACTTTGCGCGTTGACCGCGATCGAGAATGTTACGCCGATTGATACGCGTCCGACCGAAATAATAAGTTGTAATAATTGTCACATTTGATTTTGAATCGCGTGACCAGTGTAATGTCACCAGCGCTGCTCCAAGAACGAAGTGATTGCTCTCCAAGACTGAACTGATTCGTTGCAGATATTACAACTTTCTCGAAATGATGCTACACAAAGTGCATACTCGACATATTGAAGGCATCTTCTTTAATGGTAGGCTAATTACGCACATTTTGTATAAAAATTCAATAAATTTATTACAGAAGAATGTTTACTCAGATATAAAGTATAACGTTTTCTTCTATTTTTCAATGTACTGTTTTACATTCGTTTTCGTACAATGTGCAGCTCTTCTTCTTATTGGAGTCACGTTATTGATTTGTCAACATATCGCAAAGGCGGATGAAGTACCTGCATTTTTTCTGAAGATTGCTAAAAACCCTACTCTCCCAAGAATCGGCCGAAGCGAAAGATTTCAAAATTTCTTTTACAAAGCCGAAAAACATATACCTCGTATCGGTAGATATAGTGAACAGGTATACTGTTAATTGACAGAATTGAAATATTTGTTTTTCCTTATATTGCTTCATGTATTTTGTAAGTTGCGCATAATTGTCACATTGAATATTGTTCAATTTGTGCATTTCAAGTCGAGCGATTCCTCACCGCTGCAAAACGAGCAAGAAAATTACTCCAGTTTGACCAAACGACGCATCGATTATCCTTCGAAAGGTTTGAAGATCCGTAGATAATATAAATAATAGGTTTTATGTGTTTGTTTACTATAATAATTCTTTAACAATTTGTTTTGATTGTTAGCGGAAGAATGGACCTGGCAAACTTTTCCTCTAGCAATTGAAGGTCCAAGAGAGCTATGGCGAACGTTGGCTGGATATTCAAAAGATAACAACGATGAGTAAGTTTTGCAAAATAATAATTAAATGATTATGTTATTATCTTTAACTGATTGACAAATTACTCGATTTAAGCATCGATAACGAAGTTTGGCAAAGAAAGAAGAGAACTGAGACTGGGGCCATGACTACGCAGGCAAACTAGAAAAGTTCTTCGTCGCAGAGATACATCGCTTCGGGGATATTAAACGCATATGTTATACGATCTTCGCTGTTATGGTGACGGGAAAACAATCGATAATAATAATAACAAAAAAAAACGCGCAAATGCAGTTATAGCTTACATCCTTCTTCGACTTTTGCGATAATTTTATAGAGTTCTCTTCACCAAATAGTCAGTTCTTTAAATTAAAGTTATATAATGTTTTCTCTTATGCAATATTGTACAATGAAGTGTAGTGTTATAATTACAAAACATAAATACAAAAACATAAATACTTCTTAGAGAATAAAGTGGCTGAATGTAGATTTCATATTTAAACAACTTTACTGACTGTATTTATCAATGTTCAAATATTTATCGGATAACACAATAAAATCTGAAAACATTTTATCTATTATATATTTGCTTCTTCCTGTGCAGCATGCATCTTCAATCAAAGAATATCAGAGTGTTACAAATGCTTATTCTGGGGAAAAAAAAAAAAAAAGAAAAAAGAAACGGTTTTGTAACGTTGATATTACAATATACATTCATACATCTCCAGACGTCAGAAATTATGGACTATAGGATAAAGAGGAATTGCAACGATTGCGGGAAAAAATACTTTTTCTTCGTTCTCTACTGTGTATTTCCGTTTAATTAATCTGATACTGCGTGTTTGTGCAAAGGTACCCGTAATTTCCGCGACTCTCTTACGGAAAATTGCCCGGTGCGATCGAACCGATACTTTCGACTAGCTTTTTCGCTACAAGACGCCTCGCGTGGCGGTTGTTCGCTAAAATTGCAGATACGGGTCCCTCTTCTTCACGTCGGTTGTTATATGCGACAAATAACACAATTCGCGGTGACATTACCAAAACCGTGCATGTAACAACTCCGAAGATCGATGTAATCGACGATTCTCGAACGCGTGCTATGATGTTCTAACGACACCGAGCAAACGAATCTAAGATGGCAGTTGATACTACTCGAGTTAAGTACTTTGAAAAACAAAGCTATCCTTATTTCTCGCTCAATATACACACACACACACACACACACTCACGTGAAACAGGCTGCGATTTGTTTTTAATATATAGTTCGTTAAAGATTATTTAAAGAAAGAAAATTATAATATACAGGTACAATCTTCAATATAAAGATGTTTGACATATCTAAATATAATTGAATTAATTTAGTTTATTTCTCTGTTTCTTTATTCCTTTATCTTTTATTACAATTTCAATTCTCACTTGTGACCCAAATGCGTTTCAAGTTTTTTTTCCGATATTATTAAAAAGATAATTGTCAATAATACACATGAATATAATAAATTAATTTGTTACATATTGTTTTGTAAAAAATATTTTAATGGAACTTTGACGTTTGATAAAGAAATTGCGGAAATCAGCGAAAGCGCACCAAATACGAACACGCTATTATGCCGTATATTGTCCCAGAAACAAGACACGGCACGTAAACACCGCGAGGCGTCATTTAATACACGAGATCCTGATGAGCGATATGCAGCAAGTATAAATAAGAAAGTGGGGAAAGCGATTTACAAGAAGAATAGCGAGATGATTTCGCGTGAAAACAAACGCGTGGCTCCCTCCGGTCGTCACGATTGTGAGCGTCGCTTCTTCTTAAAACCAACTTAATCTTCATATAAGTGGAAGCGATTATGATAATCAAGGGGCAGCGCTTCACCGACAACGTCATTTTCAGATGTGACGATTCGAGCGTAAATCGATAGATTGAACTGCGACAAGTTTTCTTCATATCAACTCTCGCATCCACTGTCGATAAACTTCCTTATATGGTTATCGAGATCAGAGAAAATATGACGAGAATTTTATATTTACGTATACATAATATTGTTACTCTAGATGCGTTGTAAAACTTTTTGAAATTGTACTAATTAAATTTAGGTTTCCTTTACACAAACAATTTTACATTATCTTAGCATAATTTTTTCTTTCTAATTTTTATTAAAAATATATAATACATATTTTTTATTTTATAATTTGTATATCTACAAAAGAGTTGCTGGTTCACATCAGTGTTTAAATCATCTGATCTTTAATGCAAAAATATTAAATTGTTTAAAACTTCTAACCGTTTTGTTCAATGCCATGGACAAAAATAAAAACACAAAAATGGTTCTTATTTAACATATTTATGAAAAAATCTGACTCTTTGTTATATTTATAAATTTAAAGATATAAAAAATTTAAATTAAATAAAAAATTAATTACATTTAGATTTAAAATAAAATGTTTTTTCTGTAAAATAGAAGTACATACATTATCGACAAGAAAACATAAGGTGAAATAAATCTACAACGTTCTATCTTAAATCCCAAGATGTCGCCATCCACGCCATTTTTTATTTGATATGTATACATACAAATAGTTATCGCTAGATAGCGCCATTGATCCATCGGGAATAAGCACTTTACGCCGTTGGCTGCTTCCCGTAACAATAAATTGTTGTAATTACAATAATTCTTGCCTTTACAGCGACGCTTTGTGTTTAAGTCCCGCCGCCGCAACCAGTAATTTTAATTCATTATGCGGTAACCGCGAAAGGCGATTCACTCTTTTGCCACGGTGACCTAAATCCCAGCAAGATTATTGAGGAGAGAAGAATTTTTCTCTTTCTTCTGCCATGTCTTTCACAAGTTTTGTTTTTTCTCTCCCTATGTGTCTTCGATACTTAAATATAATCTAATATTTACGCAGACTTTTATTCACGTTTGTTCATGTTATTGTATCACACACTCGACTTCTAGAAGAAATATAGACAAATTGGGAAAAAAACCTCGACTCTGAGGTATAAGTGTATATCTTATAGTTTTGCTTTTTTTTATGGCTAAATATAGCTATAAGTACATATAGATCGTTTACATTTTAAGATAAGTACAGCTTTTACTTTCAATTGTTTTGTGATTTGATGTGGATATAGGTTCGATTATCTACGGGGTGTAGTTACACGATTGTAAAGAAGATACAAATTGTCTTTTTCCCATTGTAACTTCTTTCCCGAAAAGTTTTTTTTCTTTGCTTACACGATACATATGAATACTTGATTTTCTAGTAAATTTGCGCGGAACAACAACGTCCAAAGAGATATTATATCGAAAACTTGACGAATTCGTAAACGTGGTGATCATCTTTGCATGAGTTACCACGCAATGACGCTAATATTGTGTTACTTAATCGCGCAATAATTACTCCCTCGCTTTATAATACGTATGTATGAATTCTCGAAGCGACCCTTTCGCTAGACTGCAATTAAAATTCGCGCGTGTCAATATTCCACAAAATCGCCGCGCGCACAGAACGCGCGAACTTTCCAAATAATTATCTTCGTATTATTTAATTCAGCTAATTACCACTCGACCGAGCACGACTCCTTCAGCGGAACATCCTCGCGCGTATATCCAATTTTTCTCCCGACGCTTTTTGCATAATTCGTACGTGCACGAAACGCCGTTTTCTCCGTCGCTTTCCTCGACCACGTGCGATTTCCGTGTGCGGCGATTTTTCCGCGGTCGCTCTCTCCCCGCGGCGCGGCGTGCCAACTCGTGCGCGAGGGATGCCTTTTTCGCAAGATGCATCTCGAGGATACTTACGACCCCGCTGCGCCACGTCGACGAGCGTGTACATCGTGCGGCGACGCGGGGCGACCGGGTTCGCACGTAGCAATTTACGGAAACCGCACGTAACGCGCGCTCGAAGCCGAGCCGAGCCGAGCCGACACGAGCGAATGTGTTTCCACGAAGTTTTACGTAACGGATCGACATTTTTCGAAATTGCAACAACTCTGTAAAAGTTACATTTCGCACTTCTATCTTGCTAGATCGATGACCGCAATAACGTATTTTCGAAGAAACATGCGTCAAAGTGAAGTTATGTGACTACGAGTAAAATTCTATTCTAGAGACAGTTTGTAACCACATCAATAACAAAAGTAATAGAAGCGCGAGATACTGGTAAATTTTACAAATTTTGCTGCAATTTTGAAAAATACACTACTTACAATCTGAACTTTATCGAATCATCATGATTTTATATTTTAATTATTTCCCCTCGTATATTAATAATTAATTCAGAATAATGTTTATTTCAAATTTAATTTTGTGAGCATACTATTTGAAATTTTTATTGTTTTGATCGTGAAGTAATGACAATATAATATGACCACGTTGCGTCGTATACGTTGTTCGATCGCACCTTTCCGTAAAACGTATCACGTGGCAGTTCTTCGTGCAAGTCATTCTCGACTTTAGTCCGATCAACAGTCTGTACAATGTTGCGTGAGGAGTTATTTTCCCAGTCGCATTTAGTAATCTATTGAAATGACCGATTATTAAATTTCGGCCTTGATGTTTTGCACCATTCAAGAATGGAAATGATACGTTAGACGCATGATCTTTACAGGTGGTGAGTGGATGTTGCAGCTACTCTCTTATCCTGTCGCATAATTATATTTACAAAGACATCATCAATTTCGTTAGAAATACGCTTATTTTCAAGTAATAAGTTGAGATGTTAGTTTTTCAACTTTAGCAACAAAAAGATAATTTATACATTAAAATAAAAAATATACATATAATTAATGTGTGTTTTATTTACGTGTATACAATTGGTTTTTTTAGGTACACGTTTTGCACAATAAACAACAATCATATACATTTTAATAATGATAATATTTTTTTTCTCTTTAATACTCAAATACTTCGTATCTATTATTGTTTCAATTTTGATAAACACATAGTCAAGAAAACAGAGTATAATCCGACACTCGCGACTGTGTCCTTTCAAAAGATCATTCGCTGCACTTCATATGCAGAAAAAATGGCGTCCGCCAAAGAAGCAAAGAATACAAATGAAAAAACGGTGCGGCACGCGGAGCAAGACCAGCAGGAAGGTCTTCAAGGCGGAAGTTGCATGGCCAGCGTTGGACAATGCATGCGTCCCGCGAGCGGTCGTTTAATAACCCTGATTTGCCGTTTATACGGGAGGTCATGGAGGAGGCGGTCGCGGGAGGCAGAGAGAGGCGGAGGGTGCTGATGATGGGACGAGAGGGTGAGCATCGGGATCGCGCGCAACAACCGTACATAATCACGTAATGCGGTTATCATGCCAATTGCGTAAATATTTGAGCCAATTTGTGGCATGCAACGGATTCGCTCTCCTCGACCCGTGGCTTCGCGAGAGAGACCGCCGCCCGATCGGGGCGACCTATTACGGCCAACTTGTTGGCGTTTACCGACTCGCCGATCTTCGGTCTCTCTTTCTCTGTCTCTCCTTCCTGTTTTCCCTTATTCGCTATTTCCTTCCCGTTTCCTCCATCTCGCCCGTCCGGATGCC